TTTTTTTTTTTTTTTTGGGGGGGGGGGGGGGTTGGGTGAGCTGAAAATTTGATAGAATGTGTTGGCTTTTGGCAACAGGTCAATAGGTTGACGGGAAGTGGGTCATTTAGCCGTCCGAAGATCCTGCCACGCGCCCCAGACAGGAAGAAAAAAAAACACACGAACAAAAGCGAAGTCAATATAAAGGATTTAAAAACAAGACCATTTTTTTTTAGACTAAATTTGATTTTTCGAAACTTCTCTAAAAACAAGACAATTGTCTGTGACTAAATTTGATTTTTCGAAACTTCTCTAAAAACAAGACAATTGTCTGTGACTAAATTTGATTTTTCGAAACTTCTCTAAAAACAAGACAACTGTCTGTGACTAAATTGATATTTCACAACCTCCCTAAAAACAAGACAATCGTCTGGGACTTAATTTATGTTCGAAACTGCCCCTTATCAAAATTGTTAATGTACGTTTAATTCTATTGCTGCCCACAGATACTACTTACCAGCTAAGTGCTATTTCTTATTTTTATACCGTTTTTTTTCTGTTGTTTTGTTCGCTGACGAAGGCTTTCTGCCGACACGTTCGCTGTTTTGTTGCGTTTATTTTTTCAGGTTTAACCCTACTCTGTTTTACTCATTTTATGTTGTACTAACCTGATTGCAGTCTCTCCCCTTATTACCCCTACGTTTAATTAGTATCATAGTGACTAACTATAATCTTAGGAAAGAATGTTGTCAGGCGAGCGATCCTTTCTACCCCAAATACAGCACCGTGAGAACCCATGAGTGAAATTGTCGAAGCGTTGATTGAATCTATTGAAAAAGTAAAACGATTTTTAAGCAGGTCCCAAAATCTATAACGGCGAAACTATTTTTAGATGGTCGAAGTTGCCTTTTGATATTGATATAGTTTTAAATGGGCGAATGTTACATGTTGATATATATTTACATGTTGATGTCGATAATTTAGTTTAGATGAGTGAATGTAACATGCCGATATACATATAGTTTCAGACGGTCGAACAGGACATGGATATGTGTGTCTTAGTGTGAGTGTGAGTGTGTGTGTGTTTTAAAATAGTTGCTGCTCAGGGGCGAACTCCTGGGCCAGGTTGCCTCAGCAATCCCCTCCTCTTTTCTGATTTGTTGATCGTTGCAATGTAAAGAGAATTTTATAATTTTGCTTCAACGAGGTGTCTTTGTTGTTTTAATGGGCCCCCATCGCCCTAACGAGGAGTCTTTGGTGTTTATATGGGCCCCACCTGCACTGGCAGCGCCCCCATTACATTTTATATGTTCCAAGCACGCCGCTGAATACCTGGCAATAATGAACGACTTGCAGAACATACACCCGTGTGGACAAAAAAAAGGGGGGGGGGGTCTGAGTGCTGGGGGGGGGGGGGGGGGGGGGGGGGGGGGGGGGGGGGGGGGTGGGGGGGGGGGGGGGGATTGATCGGCCGCTTCTATGGCATTGCAGTATAAGCTAGAGTCCCACTAGACTACGGGATCATGTGTGACTCCGGCGTCACTGTTTTTAAAAGTAAATTGATATCTAATATTTATGTGTTGGAGGTTACGGATGTGTCACAGGCGGTTATTTGGTTTGCGAAGAAGACCCTGCATTGATATATTTATGGCCGTTACCGAGATTTCAATTTCATTAAATGTAAAAAAAAAAAGTGCCTCTGTGTATCTAAAGCTTAATATCTGTGGGCCGTTTCCGTAAAAAAAGTGCCTCTGTGTATCTAAAGCTTAATATCTGTGGGCCGTTTTCGAAAAAAAAAAAAGTCTATGTCTTCAAATAGATTACCCCAAACCTAAACGTGGATTTGATCTTGCGTGTTCTTCGCCGATATTCTCTTGACAATTGATCAAGTAACGTATCTATCATGGCCTTACACGTATATGTTCATGCACCGGAATTGCCATTGCTTTGTCTTCTGTGGAGTTGCTCGGCGTGTGTTCAATCTAAGCTCGTGTTGTGTTGATTCTAATATTAAAACTAAGCCCTGCGCCTGTGGTCGGCCTCTTTATTTGCACGGCCACGGCGTTGTTGTGAGTTGATAAACGAATTAGAATTTTTTACTTTTTTTTTTTTTTTTTTGATGTGAAAATAAAAAAAAAAAAAAAAAAATTTTATCATTTTTTTTTTTTTTTTTTTTTTTTTGTGGTTGATATAAAAAAAAAAAAAAAAAGCTGTGTTTGTGACCGGATCCAGGTGGATATTTCTGGCGTGTTTATAGCGTGGGGCTTATCTGAAATTAATTCCGAGTAAATCCTTTTTGGAACTTCTCGTAAAGGTGACCGAGTGCGTGTTTTAATGCTTATAACAAAAACCGTTTATTTGCTGGTCCTCCCAGTGGCATAATTAGACTCAAGGCAAAAAAGTGTGTGTGTGGGGTAGGGGGGGGGGTGTTACCAAAAATTAAGTCAGTCACGATTAAACACTTTACGCTTTTGATTTTTTTTAATAACAAAAATCCCATATATAGATTTATATAACTTTATTGTTTACTCAACAAATACCAGAGGCAACAAGATTTTCACTAGCCTCCCCCCCCCCACTCAAAAGAACAACAACAACCAATCCCCACCCCTGCATCTGCCCCTGGTGAAACATTTCTAACACAAACGTCAGTAGCGCAGTTACATTCAGGATCTGAGGCAACAACAATAATGACAGTTTAAGACTGCTGAATGATTGTAAAGCTTTGCATTCTATTGTGCCATCTGATGTGACACACATCAAACAGCCCCCCCCCCCCCCCCAATGGTTGTTGTGGCCGGCACGTTGGTGAGACGGAGATTTCTCATTGCATTACACCTCCATACAAATATTGATGTTTTTTAATCAGTGCTGGCCAAATAAATATTACTTCAAAATCGTGGGAACCTGATGTAATCTCACTGCTACCCAGAGTGATTAAATAATCTCAATGCTTCGCGGAGAGTTAAATATAATCTCAGTGCTTTCCGGAGAGTTAATATAATCTCCATGCTTCGCGGGGAGTTGCTAAAAATCTTGATGCTTCGCGGAGAGTTGCTAAAATATTGATGCTTCGCGGAGAGCTGCATAAATAATCTCAATGCTTCCGGGAGATCTGATATAATCCCAATTCTTCGTGGAGATCTGATATAATCTCAATGCTTCCTTGAGATCTGATATAATCTCAATGCTTCTTGGAGATCTGATATAATCCCAATTTTTCGTGGAGATATGATATAATCCCAATGTTTCGTGGAGATATGATATAATCTCAATGCTTCCCGGTGACCTGATATAATCTCAATACTTCCTGGAGACCTTATATAATCTCATGTTTCCCGGAGACCTGATATAATCTCTTGCTCCCGGAGACCTTATATAATCTCAATGCTTCCCGGAGACCTGATATAATCTCATGCTTCCCGTAGACCTGATATAATCTTTCTAGTCAAGCTGTTAACAAATCCAGTGACGATGGTTTCATTACAGTTAAATGATACAAACGAACCGAACACACCAGACCCACAAGCAGACACGGAAATACTGACAAATGCACACTCAAACACAAAAACACAGACAAATACTCTTATAGACGCACACAAATACACTAACAAAAATAATAATCCGAAATGCTAATATAATGCAATCCTTTCTGTCATTATTTTTTGACAAAGCAGAAGCTGACGTCACGTTCAGCTGACGGCCATATTTTTTTAAAATTTCTTCTTACGGTTTATCAAAGTCTGCTTGGCTGTGTGCGTCGACTGCCTGGCCCATGTCCTACCTGGCCCATGTCCTATCTGGCCCATGTCCTACCTGACCCATGTCCTACCTGGCCCAAGTCCTGTCATGAACCTTCAAAACTCGACCTTCGTATAAGAGAATAAAGCACGTTAGTGGGAGATAGACATTTAGTGGTAGACTCGTAATCCAGCCGGGCAAAGCAGGTTGAACTTACCTGACAACGTTGAAATGTTACAAAGACTGTTACAAAGACGTGTCTTTGTTGCAATTTAAGCTGTGGACACAACGACTTCATTGATGGGGCACGCAAACGTCCTTATTGGAACACGTCAACTTCATTAATGGACACATCAAATTCATTGATGGGACACTCCAACTTCATTCATAGGACACACCCACTTCACTGATGGGACACACCAAATTAATTTATTTGACATACTAACACCATTGATGGACACAGCAACTTCATTGATAGGAAAAATCAACTTCATTGATTTGACACACCAGCTTCATTGATCTGACACACAAGCTTCATTGATTTGACACATCAACTTGATTAATGGGACACATCAACTAAATTGATTGGACACATCATCTTCATTGATTTGACATGGGAACTTCGTTGATTTGACACATCAATTTCATTCATGGAACACCCAAATTTCATTAATGAGACACACTCACTTCATTGATTTGACACACCAACGTCATTGCTTTGACACCCCTATTTCATTGACACGGACACGTAGAAAAAAATAATAAGCTCCAGTGGTCACGGGCGTACCTTGAAATGTTTCAGCGCACTTTCCTCCGCCTGTTTCAGCGCACTTTCATCCGCCTCTTGTTTCAGTCAGATAAAATTCGGTGCCTAAAATGTGCATCTATTTTGAACAGGAACGAGCTTCTCTAAACATATTGGTGGGCCTCGAAACCATTCAACAGGGCTGCAGGTCGATCGCTCTATTCTCAACTTTTTAAAAATGTGTTTGTTATAGTTTATTATTTTTATTTTTTATTATTCTTTTTAAATATAAAAAAATTCAATATTTTTATTTTACATTGATTTTTCTGATCCCATCTTTATGATGTGTTTTTTTTTACCCCTTGTCAAAAGCGTCTGTATTTGCTAATACAGTCTCCACCGATAAAACAGTATTCGATTATCTGATAGAATTTAAACAAACTGAACGTGCTCGACCCACGCAAAGATAAACGAGGAATCGCAAATAGTGGGAGGGGGGGTGGCTGCGGCTGCGATGACGATGGATTTATTCCATCGAAAGAAAATCAAACGTTTACCTTATCGTTTACCTTATCGTTTACCTCATCGTTTACCTTATCGTTTACCTTATCGTTTACCTTATCGTTTACCTTATCGTTTACCTTATCGTTTACCTTATCGTTTACCTTATCGTTTACCTTATCGTTTACCTTATCGTTTACCTTATCGTTTACCTTATCGTTTACCTTATCGTTTACCTTATCGTTTACCTTATCGTTTACCTTATCGTTTACCTTATCGTTTACCTCATCGAAGGATTTTTATTTTATTTTTTTTTAAGAATAAAATGTATCCGTGAATCTTTCATTGGAAAAAAAATGGTCGTCATGGATACGTGATGGGATCATGTTTACGAAAGGAATGTGTATTGTCTCCCTTTGCTGGAACCCTTTTTTTTTATAACTATCGCAAAAGTATCGCTGTCTCGGATGACTTCAGTGGCAAAGTAACATTACTTTCTGAAACAAGAAGATAAGAACGTGATTTAAGACAAAACATGGTTTAAAAAATTATTACATCGTTTTTTTTTTCTTTAACAAAAGGGCAAGTAATTTTTTTTAAAGTTTTATTCATTTGTTTATTTTTAAATAATGGGTTTTGGGAAAAGACACAAAAAAATGGGGGGGGGGGGCAGTTAACATGATGTTTAAAAAATTAAATAAACATCCATATTAATAAATAAGCTGGTGAGTTTTTTACAAAAGGGCAAGTAATTTTTTTTAAAGTTTTATTCATTTGTTTATTTTTAAATAATGGGTTTTGGGAAAAGACACAAAAAAAATGGGGGGGGGGGGCAGTAAACATGATGTTTAAAAAATTAAATAAACATCCATATGAATAAATAAGCTGGTGAGTTTTTCTATGGGCATATTCCTTGTCTGATGTGTGCAAAATTAATAGATATTAGAATGCGTTTTACTGGGGAAATTGTCCCTTGCAGACGTGTACGGTGCCCACTTTTACCACACGTTTGGGAGTTTAATCTTGTATTCACCGCGAGGGGAGATGGAAATGTTCTGTTATTATTCTGAACGTCTAATGAAACTTTATTGAACAATTTGTTTTGAATAATAAAGTGTATGTGCTTATGGCCTGCTTATAACTATGAAGTGTCTCTGGTTTTCATGGATACATATATTTGAGTAGTCAAGTTTAGGCATAGATTTTTTTTTTAAAGTCAATAAACATTGTTTCCTGGGTTAAGATGTCATTCGTCGATCCTATATGTCTATGTCGGCTCGGTTGTCATTTTGCATATTAAGTGTTGGGGGATGTAGGGGGGTTCCCCTTATAATGTGGTGTGAAATCCATTATTTTGTGTTTTCTTTGTATGAGATTGCGTTTATTGAAACTGGTAGGAAAACAATGTGTTTAAAGAGAAGGCGTGATACTATGAGAAAGTTTCCCCGTGTGGAGACGCAATATATCAATAGCGTTATCGTCAAGTGCGTGCCAAGATAGACAACTTATTACAAATTTTTTGTTTGTTTATGTGACTCTGATGACCCGGAAGTTCTCACTGACAACATTCTAACTTTGTGCAAAGGAATTATAGTATTACTGCTGTGATCGTTTTGACCATTCTGACTTGCCAGGATACATAAGATCTGCACGGAAGATTTCCATTGAAGTTTAAAGGTTCCGATAGTCTAATTTTAATAGTGAAACTGCACATACATTCATTATAGCCATTAACTTTATAGTGAGGGTTAAAAAAAATCATAAAAATGGCAGTTCGCTTCAAGACAGTTTTACAAAGGTAACTAGAAATGTAAAGTTATTAAAACAATTGAAATGTGTTTGGCTTTCTTTAGCGTCACTTTCTTGTTTTAGTTTTATATCTTACTGTAGATAATTGCTGATTTAGCTATTTAATATATCTTCTTCTATGTCCAAGGGGCCCCACGATCAATGTATCGATCATTCTGGCAATTTCAATTTGGAAGATATGATTATTTTAAAGTTTTTATTCCATCGATCCCCATTATCAATGATTATAATCGACGCTTAAATAAGAACTCCCCAATCCCATACCATCCAATCCCATCACCCCACCCCCACCCCCACCCCACCTACCCAAAACAAATTAACACTCAGACTACCTTAACGTCTTTTGATATGAATGATTATTATCATGTAGTCAATTTCATTCAAACACTTCCGTCGTTATTGTTTTGTATATTCATTCCACGTTTTTGTGTTTATTTATATTTCATGCAGGCTAACTTATTAAATCCTCTTCTTTAACTTCCTTCATCCTCGGTGTCTGAGTCCTCAAACGATATCTTTTCTTTAATTTTGCTTTCTCACACGTTCTATCATAAGCGGAGATACTTGGCGTTGTTGAAAATCTTTCTCCGATATATCGACATGTTTCCATTTTTTCGTCATCTTGTATAAAATTCGGAAACATATAGACCCCACTCCCTCCCAAAACCAGTAGAAAAAAAAAACAGTTAACTATACTTAAATGATCTAATTACAATACTATTCATACCAAAACCCCTTGACTTACGCTGTGTGCCAAGCCTTCGGGCAATGGACAAAGAAGCTCTTATGGTTAAATTGTGCTGTTGGGTTTAATGTATTCACGTTTCTTTGTGTGTGTATGTTCTCCAAACGAGTGATCAGATTTCATAGTATTGTCATACAATCTATTGGAAAGCCCTGAGACAGGGCAAACACTCGAGATCAGTGGTTCTCAAAATTAGCTATTTTTATGACATCTGGCACCAGCTGTTAGTTTCTCGGCTCGTTATTGATGGTGTTGTTATAGAGTTCCAGTTGCTATTGCTGGTGTTTTCTTATTGTTCCACGAGTTATTTTTCTACAGTAGCTTTTTGTTTTGTTGTCGCTCTTATAATACTGTGTGTCTTTATTGTTTTTGTCCTTAACGTTATTATTTCGCTTGATTTTTTTTTTCCAAAGTTGTTATTTCTTTAATTGTTTAATTTTTTCATCAAGTTATCGTGTTCGATGTTGTTTTATCAAGTTATCGTGTTCGATGTTGTATTTCCTGACGTTATCGTTGCTTTTATTATGGCATGATTCAGGAGGTGTAGGAAGGGTAGGTCACCCCCCCCCCTTTTGCGACACATTTTTTTTTAATGTGTAGGAGCTGAATTTTCGTTGTTTTTTTTTCGTTAGGGGGGGGGGTGGTGGCAAAGTTCTTGACCCACCTCACGTGGTGCTAACCCCTAACTGCACCATGTTACTGCTGTACCAACATTTCATCTTGATAACCCTCACACCCAGATGGTTAAACCTCAAAGATGTTAAAAGAGTGCTTTGTACTGACAGGAAATACAGTCAAGGCAAGATGGAGAACGATGTGCTCAACCCCAAAGATAGTTCCAGACCTCTATTCGTGAGGCCACTTTGTAAGTAAGTTTTACGTCTAACCACTATGACGTTTTCTATTCAATTTTTTTTTTTGTGGACATTGAATTCTGCAACTTTTTAAACAAGACTTATGGGGAGTGAAGGGACGATGCGTGACCACATAAGACATGAAGATCTTTGGGTTAAGGAGAAACTGAGCTTTTGAGAATGGTCAGGAAACAAAAGCATGTGTTCATTCTTCGACTCGCCCTCCTCCCCCCACCCCTCCTCCTCCCCCCCCAAAAAAAGCAATTGATCACTGATTCTTGTGTTTTTCGGAGTCCCCAACGTTCTCTTACTCAATTTTTTTTTTCCAGAAAAAAAATCTCACAGATTGTTGTTTTGCTTGAATTAGGTCACTACAATTTTTTAGACTCAAACATCATGATGTTTTGTTAAAAGGTGGATTCCTCCTTACAATGTCAATGGAAAATAACTTTGAGATCAACCCAACTGCTAACTTTTTACACAACACAAAAAAACGTTTCTGAATGAATTTTAGTTTTAATTTTCTGTTTGAAAAAAATTTATTAGTAATCGTGGGCCATGAAAATAAATGTATTGAAATAATCTAAGATGCCTTAGCTAAGGCCCATTTAGGTAAGGTGCATTTAGGTAAGGTGCATTTTGGTAAGGTGTATTTAGGTAAGGTGTGTTTAAGTAAGGTCCATTTTGGTAAGGTGTATTTTGGTAAGGTGCATTTGACACTTTTAAACGTAAATAAAACCCCTTTAATAAAAAAAATATTCGCTTTTAGACAAATTGAGCACTTTTACGACCAACGGACATTGTGGTTTTATTTAATAACAACTGAATGGAAAAGCTGTATACTTATTTGAATTCATTGGCACCTAACGTACTGCACTCTCTCAACGACAGTGATTCTCAAACTTTGTAATCTTAAACCAACTTTATTGACCATTTATTTGTATAGCGAAAATAAGTTAATGTGAAAGTAATTATTTGCATTTTTTTTTCTTTCGTGTCAACTTTTTGGTAGAGGTCCAAGTAAATTGTGTGGATCTCTGGGATATTTCGTTCTATGAAATATAAATATAAATAGATTTTGTGATAGAAGACGATCCCCTAAGCTTGAGTTAGCTCCGTTCCTCGGGAGCTAGAAGAAGCTCAGTTCCCCCCCCTCCCTCACCACCTTTTATCAAACAATCGGACTACTCGTGGCTCATTTTTTGAGAAGCCTCGATGCACTCCGTGTCTTGTTTACGGTGAGCTTGGATTAAATTAGGACGTGTTTGGACTCCAGCGAAACCTCTCTTTAGAAATTATATTGGGCTTGAAGAATGCTGACCTACTGTTGATTATTGCGCCCCCCCCCGCACTTTTCCTAGCCAATATGACCTGCTAAGATTTCAATCTTCTTTCTCTACACTAATGGACACGGGAAGGGTCTGGGGTGGGGGNGGGGGGGGGGGGGGGTGGCGGGCTGACACCTGGAGTCGCAAGGATTTCGCACAAAGCAGAGCTATTTTCAAAGACATAGGCCTTTCTCACAGCCTTATGATTAAGACAGCTCCGATACAAAGACGGACGGAACATGATCATAAAACTTGGAAGAAATTGGTATTTGGAGGCAATGGGCACTACCACTAACGTTGCCATCTGCTATTAATGTTTTGCTTGTGGAGGTGGCTGCTTCCTTTTTACAACCGCCCCCCCCCCTAGTCAACATGTTTTATATAAATAGTATTGAATGAAGGTTGAATTTTTGAAAATTTTGAAAGTTCTCGCTGGAGTAGCGTTTATAACCTATTTAGGTTAACTATAAAAGTTCAGAATGTGTTTATAAATATTTCGGAAAAATCATGTGAATGAGATGCATATCATGGAGGGCATTCCTTCTGCGAGGTCATGTGGAATCGCGTCACAGTTTTGACCGGATGTCCGAGGTGATCAGATATGTGAAAATCAACGGTGGGGAAAGTGAGGAAAGGGATTATTGGATTAAATACCTTCAGACTACGGGCTTAACTCCTGACACGTAACGTGCAAACAAAGGTACGAGAGCTAAGACTTTTTTTTTTTCTGAATGAGAAACACGGTCAATTAAGTTGAACACCCAACTGAGCAAGCACTTTGAAAATCAGTCCAATCAAAAAATTCAGCAGTGAGAAGACTAAATCTGCAAGGGAACCTGAAAGAAGCAGATATTAATTCGACAAAGCCAAAGATTTGTCCATCTTTAAAGTTTTGAAATTCATAAATTATCTTAACGGGACTTTCTGTTATGTCTCCCAATCCGCATATTAAGCTTATAATTATTTCTCAGGATCTGTGTGTCTGTGGCCTTACGTGAGAGGAGATAAGCTTATAATTATTTCTCAGGATCTGTGTGTCTGTGGCCTTACGTGAGAGGAGATAAGCTTATAATTATTTCTCAGGATCAATGTGTCTGTGGCCTTACGTGAGAAGAGATAAGCTTATAATTATTTCTCAGGATCAATGTGTCTGTGGCCTTACGTGAAAGGAGATAAGCTTATAATTATTTCTCAAGATCAATGTGTCTGTGGCCTTACGTGAGAGGAGATACTTTTTTTTTATTTATTTTATCCAAACTTAAACTATAAAAAGAACTCTTGGGATCCACCATAAACACGTTCCAATCTTTCTGGTCCTGCGATTTTTCAATTTAAATTGGAAAGGTAAAGAATATTTGATTTTTAATCAGTGATCGACAGATACGAATCTTTGAAGCCCTAGAAAAAGTTTTAAAAAATGTTACCCGACAACAATTGTTAAGGGCTGTTACCTCAAATTCTCTGTTTTCTTCTTATGTCTTTTATTGCTTTGGGACTTAACTTACAAACAATACTTTTAGAATTCTGTATGATCTGGTTCAGAAGTAATCGGTGTATGTGGGGGGGGGGTGCGATTGTAGTCCGGAGGGTGTGACTGACTCCATGATTTGTGACTGACTCCATGATTTGTGACTGACTCCATGATTTGTGACTGACTCCATGATTTGTGACTGACTATGATTTGTGACTGACTCCATGATTTGTGGCTGACTCCATGATTTGTGACTGACTCTATGATTTGTGATTGACTCCATGATTTACTCCATTGCGTGACGCAAACCACGATGACGCCCCTGCTCTAGAGCCCGAGTCCGACAATCCTTGAGACTCGGCGTCCCGCACCATTAACAGATGTCTTCCAGCCGACAGTTGTGCTCATAAATAAAAGAACGACTGTCGATGAAAGCGTTTTCTTTACAACGCAGTGTAGCTACAACGAGTGCTCGATAAGCTTCGTGTTCAATCAAGCATGAAAATAACAGGCAGCAAGTCTTGCTGTACACGTACCGGCACTTGAAACGAAAAGTACGCTCCGTATAGCACACTGGTAGGACGGCGTTCGAGTGGAACAACCGATAATATCGTACGTTTTATGTCAAGAGCTAAGGACTTGACGTTGCCATACTTCTAAACAACCAACGTTAGACAATGGACTAAAATTAAAATGATTTTTTTTAGAATAAGAACACAAACACATGGGGGGAAAAAAGATGTGCAAGGTGACACAATAGTTCAGTTGTTTTTTTTAAATTCCTATATTAACTTCACATTTGTACGTGGTTGTCGAAATCTTCGGACGGCTAATTGACCCACTTCCTGTCGACCTATTGAGCACGAGATAAATATCGATCACATGACATTGGCACCACCAACGAAGGAACTAACAAAGGTAAAGAATGGATCCCATAACATTGGCACTATCAAAGAAGGAACTTACAAATGTAAAGAATGGATCACATTACATTGGCACTTTTAGAAATAACAAACTAATGAATGTAAACATTTAGCCACATAACATTGGCAATGTCGGAAATAAGGAACTTTCGAATGTGCTCACCAGTCGTACAGAGTGGCATCAAGAGATCTTTTCCCAGAAAACATCAGAACTCGACATAACTCATATGCTTGGTCTGAATAGATCCACCTTTTTATTGGCTTAATTTCTTTGACGTGACCAGCGCTACCAGTTAATGTCACCTTACTGTGATTAACACATAATGTCGCCCTTCCACACTTCCCCATTGACCCCTTCCCAATCTGCCAGCTCTGGTGGCACCCAGCTCTGGTGGCAGCCTGCTCTATGGCACCCTGCTCTATGGCACCCTGCTATGGTAGCATCCTGCTCTATGGCGTCCTGCTATGGCAGCACCCTGCTCTTTGGCGCCCTGCTCTGTGGTGCCCTGCTATGGTAGCACCCTGCTCTTTGGCGCCCTGCTCTGTGGTGCCCTGCTATGGTAGCACCCTGCTCTTTTATTTAAATTATTTCTGATATGAACCTGACTCGCGCGAGCTCTGTCAAATTTACAATTTTCGGAGCGCCGCCCCAATGTCGGAATTTGTAAATCGAAGGCCCAGCTGATTAATTGATTGAAACTTTGGGCAATTTTAAACCGTTCACCGTTTTCAGATCTCAGTCAGTAACTAAACGTTCATAATTTGAAACGCCATTTGTCATGTGTCAACATCAAACTTCGAAATAAACAGAATGTCACGGGATGTTGATGCAAAAGTGTGGGTTTTTTTTTAAAATAAATATTTTATTTACACTTAAGATCTGCTTTATACACTTTAAAGTGTTACAGTTCTAGCTGTGACTTATGCCCTTAACATGTACCCTTTTGGCTCTAACTCGTGTCTAAAGTGTTACAGTTCTAGCTGTGACTTATGCCCTTAACATGTACCCTTTTGGCTCTAACTCGTGTCTCTGACAAGTTGCCTCCTTGAGCTTACTTGTGTCCCCTGACAAAGTATCCTTCTAGATTTAAGTTTACTTTTCCTCATGAAAAGTACCAAGGTGGTACTGACTTCTTTTTTCCCAACAAGTAACCCTTTAGCTCTGCCTTTTGTCTCCTGAAAGATACCCATCAAGTTCTGACTTGTGTCCCCTGCCAGGTACCGTGGGTATCTACCTGGACGCTGTGGACGCTAAACCAGACAAGAACACGACGGTCGGGTCACATCACGCCTTCATGATGGATGTCATGGACAAGATGCTGGACTATCTGAGGACCGTTGACTTAGCTAAGGTCAAGGGCACGATGGAAACGAAACGTATCGGGAGTGGTGCCGTACTGGAAGGTTTCAAACACGGTTTGTCAGCATTGGATTTTTAACTAAAATTTCCATCTGATATTTAACTGTATACTTAGATTTTTAGCCATGTATATACTTTTTTTTGGTCATTGTTTACCAATGCAATTTTTTTTTATAAACAACTCTCACCAATTTGCTCTTCCTAGCCGCATGTTCTTGCTAATGGAACTATCTTTATTTCAAAAGTAAGATTGTAGTTGGAGCTTTTCACTGAGCCATCTAGCCTTGGTAATTTCATTTCTAATCTTGTCACTTCATTAAGTATACACTAATCTTGGTTATTTCATTGAACCATCTAATCTTGGTTATTCATTTGCTATCTAATCTTTGCCATTTCATTAAGTCAACTAGTCTTGGTCATTTCATTGAGCTATCTAATCTTATCATTTCATTAAGTATACTAATCTTGGTTATTTCATGGAGCCATCTAATCTTAGTCATTTCATTGAGCCATCTAATCTGGGCCATTCCATTGGTCCGTCAAATCTTGGTTTATCATTACCCCCGTATAATGTTGTTCATGTCGTTTAGCTCTCTAATCTTTGTAATATCTCTGGATCATCTTATCTTGGTAATATTTTTAGCAATCTAGTATATTGCCTAAAAGGTGTTCCTGTTCTTTTACCTGTCCTGGATATTTTATCAATTTTAAATAATTTTTTTTTTTAATTCAATTTTTCTGTTTATTTGTTTGTATAAGACAAATAAACAGAAAAGACAAAATGTTATTTTACACATGTACTTGGAAGCTTTATCAGTTTCAGTATAAATTTGGTGGAAAAGTAAAAGGGAATGTGAAAGAATAATTTTTCAGATATATGTTCTTAATTAACACAGTTATCTTTATTAAAACATTGTGCTTGCACAGACTGCATTTTGGCCGTGACCTTCGACACCTCGGAAGCGTTAGAGAGCCTGTGGGCCCTGCACGCTAAGGGCAAGTTGACCGCCATTTGCCAGGACATGTTTGTGGACAAGTCGATGCTGAAGGAGACCAGGACGTCTAAGATCGTGCTGAGGGCCAAGATGTGGGAGGACGAGTACAGTGCTTGTAAGGAGGAGATTCTTAGCAGACCTCCGACACGGCTCAAGCTGTCTCAGTATGGTAAGTCTTGGATACTTCTACCTAGGCGCTTAGGGTAATATGATAGAATTATTCAGGCTGCGTCTATAGATTCATTAGGGAATATTTTGTTTGATCATTGAATCAAGATGATTTGAGTCGCTTTGGACAGATGAGTATCAAGTCTTTATGGACAGGTGAGTATGAAATCGTTATGGACACGTGAGTTTTAAGTCGTCGTTATGGACAGGTAAGTATTAAGTTGATATGGACAGGTGAGCAGAGGCGTAGCTACGGGTGGCAGAGGGGGGACATACGTTCCTTGACGCCAGACAAGTTAGGGGCGCCAAAAAATGCTTTGAAATTATTTTATTGACGAAAATAATGGGTTTGAGAGTGGAAAAAAAAAGAAATGGAGGCGCTTGGAAATGAATCTAGTCCCCGGGCGCCAAACACTCTAGCTACGCCTCTGCAGGTGAGTATCAACTCGTTATGGACATGTGAGTTTTAAGTCGTCGTTATGGACAGGTGAGTTTCAAATCGTTATGGAGACATAAGTTTTGAGTCAGTGTGGACAGGTGCGTCTTTGTTGTGTTGTGTTTTAGTTAGCATTGTGTGTCATTTTAAGTTGCTATGAATTATTTGTCTAATACACCTATACAATTAAAATTGTCAATTAATTTCAGTTTCCTTAAACATGCGTTACTTTCAGAATTTAATTTATAAATTTTGCAGTTGCTAAGCTAAGACTCTATTACATAGCTTAAGTTTATATACTACAATGAACAATTATAATATTACCTCTTCTGCATTTCGGCTCATACAACTGTGTCGCTTATCCTAGCGTCAGAGCCTAAGACCATTTTCTGTATTAATGAATCGTGACGCTGTCTACCTCCCAGAGAATGACCTGGCTATGGTCCAGAGAGTCAAGAACTACCAACAAGCGATGCCCGACACCATCGTCCGGGCCAGGGACTACGAGAGCGCGTTCGAACACAACCTTGGGGAGTTCATGCTGGCGGTGAAGAGGTCGCTACCGCAGTCGACGGCTGTCTTGCGCAGCGTGAAAGAGTTCCACACCAACATTCGGGTGGCCAGGGGGGTTAAGAAAACTGGCTTCGAGCCGGTGGATCATTACATGCAAGCCATCGAGTTCTTCAGGAAGTACGCAGCCATCTCATGCTTTGTGTCCTTCTCACATTGTGTTGCTGGTTGTTTTTGTTTTTATGTTGTTGTTTTTTGTTTTTATGTTGTTGTTTTTTGTTGTTGTTTTTTGTTGTTGTTGTTGTTTTCTTATGTATGACATTTTGTGTAAAATACTATTAATACCTCACAGACGTTCTCAACTTATTGCACATGTGTCAATTTCATGTGACAACGTCATGATGCGTCACCTTTCCCCCATGGCGTAAAGGGTCAGGCAGGTTTGGATCCGTTGAACGCCAGGTAGCTCACGAGCTAAAAAAAATTTTTAAATTTTTGTGTGCACAATATGTCCAATAGTAATTATTATTTTTGTGTGCACAATATGTCCAATAGTATTTATTATTTTTGTGTGCACAATATGTCCAATAGTATTTATTATTTTTGGGGGAGAGGGCGCCTAAATCCAGGCTTTCTACGGACGCAGCTTTTGCTTGTATTGGTCTTGGACTACCATGCTCAGCAAAGCGTGTAAAGCCAAAAACAAAATATTTTTACTGCATTTGTAAACAAAACAAAATATCACGCAGTGTCATTATAAGGCCGGAACAATCATTTAATTTTTTTTTAAATTAGTTAGATTAACATAAAAAAAAACAAGTTGTATAAATTAGTTTAGTTTTGTTTGTATCATTTACTTTGTTTCGTTATGCCGTTTTATTTAAAATGCACTATTATCTAAAAAAAAATTAATAATCTTTTATCGCCCCTTCATTATATTTTATGGTCATTGGTGACTATTGTTTTTAATTAGCAGAGTTCAGTGGCGTAGATAAGTCTAGTGCCGCCCAAGGCTAGGGCGTGGACTTTCGCGTTCACCCCACGACTAAATTTACTGAATCTGGTTCGAAAATGCCGCCCCGTGGTGTCAAGAAAAAAGTGCCCACCCCCTTTCTACGCCCCTGCAAGTGTTGATCTGGACAAGAATAGTTTGTTTTACTTTTGATATCTTCATAAAATCGTCAGGCTAACTCGCTGATCGCACAACGATACACTACATAATAAAGATTGTAGATAGATATATGTATATCAATGTTATTGTCCTTAATAAGAAAAATGTGCCAGACTCATTCAAACCATCCCTCAAACATGCCCTCCTTCCTTTTTTTTTTTTAACTCAACATCACGCAACCGATTTAATTTTTGTCACTTATCATAACAAGACTTGTTATATGCTTAGTATTTGTAGCTTGGGAAAAGTATTTCTTCTTATCATTTTACTAAAAATGTACCAACTAAAAATCTATCTATCTATTGATGTATTAATGACTAACCCATTATCTGTTCTTTCAACAGAGTATTTGCTGAAGTGGAGGCCAACATTGTTTTCCCATTGTGTCAGGTCCGAGCGCACTGCGAAAACGAGAAACAGCAAAACTTGAAGAAGGCCATTAAGGACGGGTGCGCCGAGATGGCCGCATTTCTGAAACCGGAAGCAGATCTGGGGAAAATTTGCTACAAAGACTGGGAGATGAAAGTCTTGAAACGAGAACAGGGCCTGTTCTACGGCCTGATTAGCCTCGTCCCCATGGGACTGGACAGACTGACGACCATTGACGTCAATACGGATGAATACATCATGGACTTCGTTGAAATGGCGCAGTGATTTGAGCACATACTGGCGTTGTCCCAAGGGATTCAAGATAACAGACAATCATAACAGGGACTACTTTTTATACAGATTTTGACCGCAGTTTTTTCTTATGTGCGGATGCTGTGTTTTGTTTTTTTTTAACTTGATGGTCATACACTTTTTATATTATAATGATTCTTATCCCATATCTGCATTATAAATTTTAACATAGTAGGACAAGGAATGTGGAAGCTTAAAACAAAAGACAGGACATGAACAATATATGAACATGTTGGCTAAGAGGTTTCCTCGACAGACAGGACGTATGAAGACACGACAAGAAATAGAGAAGAGTTCAAAATTTAAGCGATCGCCATTGTTATTGCCGGAAGTTGTATTCTAATCGAACCCAGTCCTTCATTTATTAAATTTTGACACTGGCCAAATAAATATTTTGAAGCCTTTTGATATTGAGGCAGTTTTGGCTTTTAAAGTAATTGAGCAAGTTAACTAGTACTGTGTACTCACAAACTAATCTACTAGAAAAAGTTATTATTCTGGCCACTTTAATCAAAAGGTAGGTTTGCAAACAATAATATATATATTTTTTTCTCATCTTGATATAGCCTCTAAGAAAACTGGCATCATGAAATAGCTTCTAACAAAACTGGCATCATGAAATAGCCTCTAACAAAACTGGCATCATGAAATAGGCTCTAACAAAACTGGCATCATGAAATAGCCTCTAACAAAACTGGCATCATGAAATTAACAAAACTGGCATCATGAAATAGCCTCCAACAAAACTAGCTTAAAGTGTTGGAGGGTTCATTAACTTATCTATTTTTTAAAAATAATTAAGCTCTATTTTCTTCTTTTTTTTCATTATTTGTTTTAATAATATAACAAAATGATATATTTAAAGAACCAAGAATGTGCTATGACCAGAAGTTTAAAAAAAATAATTAAACATACTTTGTAAAAATGTTTTATCATTAAAAAATGTGTGTTAAATTATCAACCCTGACGTTTTTGTTATTTCAGTGATTTTTTTTTTTTAATCTTGTTTCTTTTATATTAACAACATTATTCTATTCATAAATATATCGTGACTTACTCATTCTCCCGATCTTCCTCAGTTTCCTGTCCATTTTTGTAGCTCTCTCTCTCTTTCGCGCTCTCTCTTTCGCTCTCTCTCTTTCGCTCTCTCTCTCTCTCTCTCTTTCGCTCTCTCTCCCCTTTCTTTCTCTCTCTCTCTCTCTTTCTCTCTTTCGCTCTCTCTCTCTCTCTCTTTCGCTCTCTCTCCCCTTTCTTTTTCTCTCTCTCTCTCTTTCACTCTCCCTCTCTCTCCTGCTTTTTCTCTTTCCCATCTCTCATTATTTTTTCCATATACCTGATTCCCTCTCTGTCTCTCGTTTGCACATTCTTTCTGTTTCTAAGCCTGCATGTGTAAATTTATTTCGACACTTTAGGAAAAAAAATCCTTTATATTAATTTCGCTTTAATTCATGGCTGACTGACTGGCTGGGTGCCCGGCTGGAAAAAATCTTCGGACGGCTAATTTACCCACTCCCTGACAAACTATCGAGCTAAAACTTAACCCAAAGACTCGTTTCCGATGGCAACACATTCTCTCAAATTTTCAGCTCCCTTCCCCCACCCCTACCTCCAAAAATCTGTTTTTCAAAGGGAAGATGAAGTAAATATGATGGCACTGATTTCAGGAAACAAAAGTCCCCATAATGGCGTTAAATGAGTTGTTTTTGTTGTTTTTTAAATATCGCAAGTGCGTTTGATACGTAATAATTTGTTTTGGTTTTTCTGAAATTAATCTGCGATGTAGAAGCGGTTGGGTCATTAGGATGTTAATATAGTTCAGGTGCAAACAAAATGTACGCTTGCGAGCCTTGAGAGAGAGAGAGAGAGAGAGAGAGAGAGAGAGAGCACTAATTTGGATTCTTATAAAGTGCGCTTTTCGTATGCATGCTTTGTCAAATTTTCAGCCCCATCCCCATTGCTCAACGTTACACTTGTCAAAAGATATATTAGAAAAATGGTGCTTTTAGGGTTTGTAAAATTTCCCTCTTAAGCCCAATTTTTAAAAATATTTGTTTTTTAATGGATGCTTGTGTGTTTTTTGTTTTGTCTTGTATTTTTTATTTTAAAGAGATGTAAGATTACACTAGATCTAACTAATTTATTTTCAATTAATTTTAAGACAAGATTGCCAAAATGTCCGTAAAATATTCGTACCGTCCGTAAAAAAAAAAGTTTGACCTGACATGACTTGTTCGTAAATGTACATAAGAGCCACAGCATGTCCGTAAAAAATATAAGACATAGTATTAAAACATTTTAAAGGCAACAAAACTGGACATTTTAACTATTTCTGATTTCTTCTTACTTATTGGAAACGTGTACAGAAATAATCAGGATAAATGCTAATATAAGATAGATAAGATTCTTTTATTGATCCAAACAAATGGAAATGTTTTATGATTGCATTATACATTTTCAGCACATAAATAAAACACTTTGAACACAAGACTTTTATAATAAATTATTTGAAACAGCCATTTAGTGAGTTCTCTTAGCCAAATCAGGGACTTATTAGTTCTCATTAAGATGTGTGACTTCAGAGGGAACACGCTGGTAAATTCGTACAGATTGGGGAACAAAAGAATTTTTATATCGGTCAGTCCTCGCCCTGATGTAGAGAATTCGTCCCGATTTCAAGTATCTGTGATGAAGAGGGTGGGATGTATCATCCAAAATGTGTTTAGTTTTACAAAACAATATTTCTTCAAATAGTTCTTCAAGTGAAGGGTGTTTAGTTTGTGTTATGTTCCTAGCTTTCTTGATTAGTCGGTTTATGCGGTGTTTTACATCAGACGTTGAATCCCCACTCCAGCAGGTAATACTGAAATTAAGCAGGCTTCCAATTTTTGCACTGTAAAATAAGTTAACGACTTGCTTGTATACGCTTAAATTGTACAGTTTTTTTTTTTTTTGAGGTAGAACATTCTTTGGTTAAATTCTTATACAGCATTTGGCCGTGCTTATGCGATGTTAGCTTCTTACTAATGGTGACAATTAAGTACTTGTATGCCTCCACGTTCTCTTTATTGAATAATCAATTATAAAGGTCACTTTATTTTTTGAAAAAATGACCCCCCCACACACACAAACCTTATTTTGTTACAAATCTCCGCCCCGCCCCCCCCCCCCCCCACCTTTTTACCCTTTAAAATACGTCACACATGTTGACAAAAATTATGAATTAACAACTAATTAAAATTTAATCTAAAACACGCTTATTATTAAACTATTGAATTTATTGAAACTATAAAAGTGAAATGTTCTGTCAGAATGCGTCGATCACAACAGTTCTATTGAGGCGGTTTGACAGCTGATCGCAGTTAACACGGTGCCGCCAGGACAGGTTGACATCAGAACTGGTTGCCACCAGAACAGGATGCCACCAGAGAAGGTTGCCTCCACACCAGAAACAGGGTGCCACCGGTGAAAGAGTATTCGGTTCGGAGGGAGGTCCATGGGGAATGTATGGAAGGGGGGGGGGGCACCATGAGTTTAATGTACGGGGTGACAATAACCCTAGTGACGCTACTGTCCGCGTATACTTGTTCAGCATTCTATCTATTCTAATTTGTTTAAATGTATATTTTTGATGTCCAAAATAAACAAATTCACTCATCTATTGGGTTTGACGCTTTGATCTGAAGCCCAGAACTTATTTCATATACATGCTAATTATTTAACGACTGTTTCATAATATTTAACTTAAAAATAAAAAAAATAATTATTAGCAGCAATGGTATACTGAAAACATGATTGTTTTCGGGTGGTACAATTGTGTGAGCTCGCCCCGTGCAGCATTTAGTCAAGGTGCGCCCCTGACCAAAAGCCATACCAATGAAAATTTTTAAATTGTATGGGTGGAGAAGTGGGTGTTTCAAAACAAAAAGTAATCCCTCTCTCCCCAAGACTGGAGACAAACGGCATAAGAGATATTTAATGGGGGGCATTTCTTTTCCGGTTTAAGGGTAGGGTGGGGTAGAGGTCACGTAGATATGCTACTCGGAAGTTTCCTCACAGCTCCTGGATCGGTGTTTTCCAAACTTTATTGACTCACCTGAGAAACTAATAAGGTTTAACGCCCCCCCCCCCCAAACCTGAACCTTAGTCGGTGTGCTTTGGAAAGGGGTCTCAGTGCCATCAGGTTGCTACTCCGAAGTTTCCTCACAGCTCCTGGATCGGTGTTTTCCAAACTTTATTGACTCACCTGAGAAACTAATAAGGTTTAACCCCCCCCCCCCCCAAACCTGAACCTTAGTCGGTGTGCTTTGGAAAGGGGTCTCAGTGCCATCAGGCAGAACACAAGTTCAGTTTATGGAAATGCAGAAGTAGATGTTTAAACTTACAATAAATAAAATATATTTGTATTGCAAAATAATAGGCAAATAATAAAAAAAAATCTCAAATAAACTGTAGAAGGCCATGGGGGCACAGAAGCACAGAGGAATGCCCGGACCCCTGCCACCCTTTCACATGTAAGCCTTCAGCGCCTTCAATTTCTGCTCCCCCATCCCAAATCTTGTTTGTCGATCTGCATCAAGTCCCGAATGTTTGGAACGCTCTGTAAATTAGAGAATCAAAGTTTCTAATTAAGTTGTAATAAATCAACAAAATTTACAAACTTACGAAATTTTGGTGATCCCCCCCCCCTTTTTTTTTTACCGGGTCTTTGGTGACGTACTGGAGAGCATAATTTCTATTTACATTAGATAATCAATCGTAAAGGTTGTTGACAACTTAAATCATTTTAAAAAAAATAAATTACCCAAACTTTCGTTTTCTTAATGTTCGCATTCTTTCACATGACGCAAAAAACAATAACAAAACACACCAAAAAAAAAAAAATCATTTTCCTCGCTTGTTCTGTTTAGTGTTGTTTTCTGGGTATACGCACTTGTGACACAAAAATTAGTTTTCCTGCTTATCGTTTCGGACAGATAGACATGTCTGATTCTGACCTTTTATTATATATATATATATGGTTAACTTTAAACCGTTTCCTTCCTAATATTACACAAACCCCCTTTTTAAAAAAATGCTCTCATGAGGGAAGCAGTGTATAGCTACAGTTCATGCCCCCCAGGGGCGGTCCTTGACTTTGCCGCCCTTTTCCCTTATTGACTTATTGGCTTATAAGGAAATCTACAATGCTTACAAAATACACAAAAGTTAGTGATTTAAAAATAAAGTATTTCAATAATACCAAAAAAGTTCCTCAAAATAAGTATCGACCCGGGCAAACAACCCCGTTGCCCCCTCTTTCTGTGCCCCTGAGGGGGGAGTACCCCTCACGTTAGGAAAACACTGTCTAAACTGTAATATTATTAAGACAATTTCGAAATACTAATAATATGTTTAATACTAACGTCGCTTCCTGTCCCAGAATGCTCATTAAACATGGTAGCCCCCTGTGCAAATTGATAGGCCAAAACAACCAGAAAAAAAATAAGAAAATTGTCTCGCTCTGACAATAATTCCAACCTTTGAAGTTAAATACAGTAAAGTGAATTATTTTTTTGAATTTCAGTATGACTATTTAAATTTTCAAGTTACTAATACAATAAGCACATGTCTGTCAATGATTGAATTGATTGGCGTCATTCATTTTTCGATCACTTAAGTCAACTTATCAGTATCGGCAGTATCATTATCATATTCGATGTTTAAAAAAATCTATTTTATTTTTTCAATATTAGTATTAGTTTTATAACCTAGTAGATCAGTGGTCGGCGAACTGGGATAAATATACTCCAAATGGGAAATTTTGGGGGTATAAGAGCTTAATAGACAAAAATAAAATTATATTTTAAGCATAGTTTTTTATTGAATAATTTTCTGCCAATACTCCATCTGCAGTTTAATTTATTTAGTAACACACTGCACCTGTTGTGGTTACAAGGTAAATCTTGCAGTTCATGTGCATATATAAAGCATATTCACAAAAAATGAAACAAGAAATTAGATTTAGATCTATATTAAGTTATACCAAAATTATTTATTGATGCTTAACTTTTCAAACTAAAAGCATGTTCACAAAATAAATTTGTATAAAATTGACGTATATATTGGCTAGTTTTAGGAAAAGTTAAAATTATGACTTCATTATTAAACTTCAGTACGGGTTTTTGAATATAGATGACAAGTGTATGTTATTATGTGTACTACGTTTGATCTCGTTCCATTCACCCATGCCCATGCAGGAGCTTTTGAGTGGAATTTAATTATATTTATACACCCCATATAAGAAAAAAAAAAACAATATTGAGCCCCTATAAAATAACGGAACATCTAATTAAGTTCAACACCCCTCCTCACCCTGTATTTTAACAGGGTTAAAAAAATATGTAAAAATGGAGCTATTGGAAGGTTGGGGGATGTTCAAAGATGCTTTAGAAATAAAATAAATCGAAAATAATAGATGTATACTTCAGTTTTAGTTAACTATCACTGCCTAGATTTAATTTAATGAAGAATACACGTAAGTTTACATGCCATAGTACGAAATTCGATCAGAAATAATATAGGCACCTGAACTGCAAGCTTACCATTACAAGTGACTTGGTAGCTAGCATAGCTCACCTCTAACGTTGTGTACTGGGTACGTCATTTTGGTGAATGCGAATAGATAGCACCACGTCTTTTACCTTGGCTGCCGTGAATTTCGACGGTTTCATGTGTCGGGGCTACCAAGATGGCGGCCGTGGAAAATAACTCACGTTGGCTAAAATTAAGAATAAATCTTTAAAAAATCATTTTAAAATATCCTAAATTTATACCTAACCTGACCTGAACCCTAAATCTAATCTGAACGCTTAATCTGGGTTTTGACCCTATCGGAACCAGGCTTTTGACCCTATCGGAACCAGGCTTTTGACCCTCTCCCTAACCTGGGTTTTGACCCTGAAAACCAGGAAAATGAACAAAGAAAAAAGAAAACAAAAGGACCCGCTATTCGGACCCGGTTCCCTTTAGACTAAATCCCATTAAGATGTCATTTGTGTTAGTTTATTTTAGTTAAACTGAAGAAGTAAGTTTACAAACATATAGTCCATTCAATTATCTATCATTTGATACCTAATTTTGTCTTACAAACCCAACGATAATATTTTAAATAGTTATTTAATCCCAACCTCTCACTTCTGATACCCAGGTGGGAATAGTCGCTGCCAAATGTATTTTCCGGCCAATACACTACCACAAACCAAACAGGATCATGTTGAATTGCAATATCGCAAAACCAGGTTAAATGTATTTATTTTGCTGCACTATACACAGGCTTCAGACTTGAGTCCATGGTTTTGTTAGGTATACTGCCGCAGTGTATGCAGCCACTTCATATAAATTTAGGACACAACAGTGACCAAAAATAACAACAGAAATAATAAATTTTGGGTTGAAATATTTAATTATGTCTCTTTCTAAATTATGGAAAAACTGTAGATCTCATTTTATTGTGTTAGAGTCCACAGATGCCAGTAGAAACTTTTTGAAACAGTTTATTTTAATAGCTAGAAAGACTTAGTGTCCTTGCTGGAAATACTTAAATGTTTATTATAGGTAATCTTTTGGATTTCATCAGAGCTAGACCAATAATCGGTTTCTTTTAATACTTTTATATTTTCTGAGTTACATTTAGGGGTCGTCCATTAATTACGTCAACAATTTTTTCTCAATTTTTGCCCCCCTCCCCCCCTTGTCAAAAACTGTCAAAGTTTCGATGACCCCCCTATTTAATTATGTCAACATTTTAAACCCCCCCGCCCCCAAATGTATTATAATATAAATAAATTTATAAATACGTTTTACTTTGTGCTGATTTATTTTTAATAACAAAAAATTGTAGGAAAATCATTTTATTACATCTTTAGCTTGTTAATCAACAAATTTCAAAGTTTTTACACTTAAATTTTATAATGCAGAATCAATTAAAAGTTTGTTAAAGACTAAATAAAATTGTTTGTGGAAGTATAATTATGATTATTTCAGTATAGATGACAATTATAGTATAGTTTCTAGCTGCTATTATCTTTCCATTGCTTAGCGAGGTGTTGCTCTATCGCTTATGTGTCAAACTCAAGGCCCGCGGGCCATATCCGGCCCGCCGAACAATTATATCAGGGCCGCGAGGTCATGACCGATGTACAATTGTATCCAAGTCAACGCTATAGCGCTTCCCAATGCACACTTTGCTAAAAAACTTAGCTTACTTCACGTCGAGTTCGCAGGACACGTAAGGCAACGTATGACATAGTTCGGCCTGCACAGTTCACTCGTTTCATTCCTGAAGAGATACTTCGCCTACATGCGGCTTGAACTTTGAGCATGTTGGGCAGCACATATATGTGTGAGCAGCTGTTTTCTATGATGAAGATTAACAAAACATCACCACAGTCCATTGCAGTCCATCATGAAAATCTCAATGACACAGAAAGTTACTCCCAACATAAACGAACTTATTTATTTTTGTAGCCAAGAAAATGTTTCAAACATCTAGCTCTGACAAATTGGCAAATAACGAAAATGGGTATGCCAATGATTTATAATTGTTAAAACTAATAAATGTTTTTTTTAAAAAGAGTAATTTTCCGCTTATTGAATGTTTATCCTGTTTGGCGCGCAACCCTACATGGGATTTGAGTTTCCGCCGAGCGATTGAGTTTGACACCCCTGCTCTATCCTAACAATGGACATCACATCATTTGGGTAGGGCGGCCAAATGCCCCCTGCCCCCGATTTTGTTGATTTTATTTAAATTGCTTTGTTACCTTGCCGCCTCCAGAAATAAAACAACTTAACAAGCCGACCAAGTTTTGGTTTTGCCCCCCCCCCTCCCACCACCCCTGAAATAAAAACACCATGAAACGACGCCCCCGATGGGCATAGTCTATAGTAACTGATTTATCATTTTCATCTTGCGGAACAATGATACCCGACAAGTCAACAGCATCCTTATCTAACTATTCAGCACGTAAAATCGGAGCATTGTCTGTGTGAGCAATAGTTGCCATAAGCTCTCTCTGTCTTTGAGTTGGTATAGTTGTTATTGAACACCGATGAGTTGGTGTTTTTTTTTAATTGAACACTGTGTACAATGATGTGTTAATCACTCTAGGAAGCGGGTTAAGAGAAAAATGACAGGATAAGAGATGCCAACTTTTGACTTCTCTTGCACTAACAAAGTGTGCTAAAATTCTGACCAGCCATCTGCAGTGCACAGACAGACACACATTAAATAACTCTCACATTGTTAAAAGCCTAAACATGTATGACTTTATACCTTTAAATAATGTAAGAACCAGTCAATTTTTAAGATTAAAATTTTAATAGAAAAAAACATGATTTTTGATGTCAACTAATCTAAACCCCTTCCCTCCCCCTTGTCAACAAAGTCCAACATTTCCAACAAATCTCCCCCCCCCCCCCAATTTTGTTGACGTAATCAATGGACGCCCCCTTACTTAATTTCCTTATAAAAATATTATTGCTGCTGTTGACTTCAATCCTAGGTAGTTAATTCTCAGAAATATTTGTGTTTTTTTAATTTAAACAAATCAATAGTTTTGCCACCATCAGCAGTATGTCTGCTGAAAGAGATGCATCAGTTGTTGGGGGCAACCAGCCACTGTTCCAACCAAATGAGGAAGCTGTCACCCAAGTTATGAGCCTTGGCTTCTCAAGAAATGCTGCAATAAGAGTAAGATAATATAAGTTGTATTTATGACCAAAAAAAGTTTTAAAATTATTTTCTTTTCTTAAGGCTGTCATCCTGTGCCCAGCTAAATGCCAGTGTAATTCTCAGGTACCAGATTTTAAGAAATTATTAAAATTTTAGAAATAAAAATGTTGTTCTTTTGGCCCTCTACTGCCATAAGTTTGCACTTTTGCTTCCCAAATTCACACCAGCCCCTGGTTATTACGCCAGGCAGTGGCATGTCTGGCAGATTTGTACTTTTGATGCTTTTTCAGGGTGCCTAACAACACATGCTGAATTTACTAGATTAATTAGACTAACAAGTTTAGTGTTGTTTTCTGAATGTACACAATTGAAACATTCAAACCGATGGCTGTAAAATTTATTGAAATTAATGTAGAAAGTAATATTGATAATCTTATTACTAGTTGAAGATATATCTGAAACAAACAATACTGTTATAACAGTACATTATAATAATGGTGACTGACCATGGTGATGGCCAGTGAACTAATTGACTCTCTACATTTCCAAAAATGTGTCTGCTTCATCAAGTACCCGGGTATCAGCTCTGAGATTTAAAGCTACCTGGCAGGTGTTTTTCCAATTTTTGACAGCCTTATTGATCTTGCAAATTGTACATAGTAAATGTTAAATTTAAGACAATTTTAGTCACACAAAAGCTGACCAAAAATAAATTATATTTTATGGTTTCTCTTCATTATCTCCCCATTAGTTAGATATATCTCGTAACATGATACAATTATTTTGCACTGGACATTTGAGAGACCATATCATAACACCAACGTTCACTTAGTAAAAGCTAGCACTTTATCTTTGTCAATAACTTATATCTTACAGAGTTTCTAGTATGATACACTTCTTCTGGCAGATTCTTGTTATGAACTTCAATTTTTTTTTTTTTTTTTTCATTTTTGCTCTTTCTGAAAAATCTACTCTTAATTTATTGAAAATATGAATATGCAGACAAAAGACAATGTAAACACGATAGTTTCTAGTATGATACACTTCTTCTGGCAGATTCTTGTTATGAACTTCAATTTTTTTTTTTTTTTTTTTCATTTTTGCTCTTTCTGAAAAATCTACTCTTAATTTTTTGAAAATATGAATATGCAGACAAAAGACAATGTAAACACGAAGTCCTGAACTGTACTTGCACTGTAATTTGAACAAGAAAAATGGCAGGAGACAGTACATGGTTTGTGGTGTCGCTAGTAGTTTATTAGAGCTGTCTTTTTAAACCATATTTATCTCTTTTTTTTTCGTAGGCATTGTTCTATACTGGCAATCTCTCAGCAGATCAAGCAGCTGATTGGCTTTTGGAAAACAATGATAAAAGCTTGGACACACCATTAGAGGTAAGGCCCTTATTTTGCTGTTGTTTAGTTTAAATGTTAACTTTTTGTTTTTCTCATCCTGCTAAAGTAATTATTTAATTATTAAAATTTATCTCAACACTTAAAACCAATACAATATTTACCCTATCAAAAAAGTGTACTCTGGCATAAAAGCTACAGGTGACTTATACTTCCTACAGGTTGACCTACAAGGCACTAGTGATAGCAGCGATGAGGACGATTTCCTGACTACAAATTCCTTCAAAATGGTTTTTGTTGTTAATGGTGAGCTCAACATGGGTGTTGGGAAAATCGCTGCTCAAGTTGCACATGCATCACTAAGCTTGTTCAGGAATTTAATGGAAGACGAAGTGAAAGCTGAGATGTTGATGGCCTGGGGACACCTTGGGTAGGTTAGAGTAACTACAATCATAATGTCTAGCTATTTTATTTTCTGCTTTGTGATATTATTATTAATCGAGAAAAAAATGTTTTATACCAGTATGTATTGCTTTCCTTAATAGTGGAAATTGTGTTAATAAATATCAATCTTATTCTCTTTGCACCAGGGAAACTAAAATTGTTTTAAAAGGAGACAGTGGCATGCAGCTAGAAAATCTTGCAGCCCAGGCAGCTGCAGCCAACATTGACCATTACCTTGTGCAGGATGCTGGTCACACCCAGGTTGCTCCAGGGTCAAGGACAGTGCTGGGATTGTTTGGGAAGGTGGATGATATCGACAGGGTCACAGGAAAACTGAAGCTGTTGTGATAATTTTAAATAGATAAAACTTCATATTTTTGGTAAATTCACATCTGGAATTTTTTTGGTTACCCTTAATATAGAAGAATCTCACTGGAAGTCAGATTTTTTTCACATTGTCCAAAGCTGCCATTACATGGAGAATTTTTGTTTAAATCTGGCAACTGACCCTGCTAATAACAACTCTTATACCATGGTCAAAAAGAAAAATTAGCAGCTTTAAAATATAATTAGAAATTGGGTTACAAATTATGCTTAGGTTTTAGATATATCAGATATATTGATTATATCAACATCATTCAAAGGGGGTAATTTTTAAGCTTTTACTAACTTATGATAGGACATCATATAATCTAATTTCTAAACCCACTCCTGACTATTACTGTTATTCTCAAAACTGGCCACCCCGTGCGCTGCCCTGAGGCTTTTGTTTAATATCTCCTTCATGGCACATGGCTACAATATGTCTAGGCAACACATTTTGCTAAAGTCTCCTGGTTGCTCTCCTTGGTGAAAAAAAAACAAAAAAATTTGTATCCTCTCTTTTTTCCATCATTGAGTTAATAAAGGTAAAAGTTCAAAATGGTTTCTCAAGCCTTAGTTGTGATTTTTATAAAGCTCAGATGGTGATACTATAAAAAATATTGAAGAAGAATCCCTTCCAAATTGATAGTGGCGGTTCTATTGTGGAAGATATCTGTGACTTCAGAAATGGCACATAAATGGCTTGATGCAGGCAATGTTTGCTGTGGAGATGGCAGTAAGGTTCAAATATTATTAATCCAACCTTAATCTTTTTATCATGATTATTTAATATAATTCATTTTCACACTGCATATCATCCAAGAAATAGAACAAAATGACTTTTTATTATTATTTTTTTTTTTGTTCATTTTTCCAAAATCAGGTTTCCAAAAGGAGTTATGGCCTCTTAGCTTAAGAAATTTGAATGTTTTTATCATGGGTGTTGTTAGGATATTGGTATATAGTTGGTTAGATTTTTGTCTGCCATTCAAAGCTATTGCAGATTGCAACCCATTTTGGGAAGGTTGGTATGATTTTTGTAATGCTGTTTTAAAGTTGTTAAAATATTTTATTAAATAGGGTTTCAAAGATAAACTCACGAAGTGCATAGCACTGATCTGTGACTTTTTAAATAGTACCTGCATCCGGCGCCTATAACTTAATATGTAAGAATACATTTATTTGGACTAAAACGAGCTATTTGTTAACCCCACACCAACTGGGTTGCTGTCTTCCCACTTCAGTTGTTGAGGGACTCAGGTTTTAGCTCCATCCCAAAAATAGATTTCTAAATGGAAGGGTGGGGTGAGGGGATATTAATCATTTTTAAGCAGCAATTTATCCATTGCTTAATATTACCCTGGATTTGAATCTGCAATCTCTTGGTCAAGAGGCAGAAAAAGTACATGACCAAAAAATTGCATGTTTACTATATTATTAAATTTTTACTTGAAGATATGTTATTTTAAGGCCAGTATATTGATTCTCTTCTATTATCTTGGCTATTATCAGTCTGTTGAATCATCCATTACCCTTAAATCTAAAGTTTTGTCAATTATCTTAATAAAAATAGGCTTCGTTAATGGTTAGCCTTTTTATATTATTATATTATTATTTTTTTATCTATTGTTTAGCTTGGTAAATATAAATATCCTAATTACTAACTCTTACATGCTGTTCAAACACTAAAGAAAGAAAGAAAAGAAAATGCCAGTAAGATTGTCTCATTACTTTGACATCCAAGCTATAAACAGATAATGGAAACCTATTTAACTTGCAATCATTCCCCAATGCTTAAATAAAAATGTATGTTTGCATATCTTTGATCAGGTAATTACTTTTTCTGAAAATTTTGTAGTTACATGGTATTCCAAGATTTTTAACATTAGTGTTTACTCTTTTTCTCAAGGGCAAGCATAGTATTTTAAAAAGAAAATAAGGAAATTTTGTCTAGGATTAAATGCTACCCTGGTGCTGTCCCACCCCAGACTGTTCAGTCTCCTTAAAATCAAGACGTTTTGTCTAAAACGTGAAATATTTTTATTTGTTGTAATTAATTACGTGAAATCAAAGTCAAAGTACAAGTTTAGAATTAATTTATTTGAACGTTGGAAGAAATAAACTTTGGTTGCTTTTACATTTGGACATCAGAATTTTGTAATTTGCAGTTGATTAACTCTTATCAATTATAAATCATTTCTTCTGTGGACAAATTGTCATGAAGAGAGAACTCTTTTTCAGAAACCAAGTCTTTCTAATAAATCAGTATTGAACTTTTTTTTTTTTACAAAATTAATATTATTATCCCGACTATGAGATGATGATCTTAAAACATATATTGAAATAGTTCATATATTTAGTCCACTTGATGTCCTCTTAACATGGATTGGTGTAATATAATATGCAGTTAACTCAAACTTTTAAAGATAGTTGTTATTGAAAGAACCAGTGATTTTTAAAAAAAGAAATTCAGTATTTTTTTTAGAAATCAATATTCTAAAGAGAACGCAACTTGCATTTTCAATGTTGGTTCTTGAAATGTTTAACAAGAAAAGAGACCAAAAAAACTTTTCTAATTTTAAGATGACAATAATGACATAGAGCCACCTCATTTTCAAGATCTCGGCCAGAGGGTTACAAGTGATTTTATTTTTGCAGTTGTTTTACATCATTTAAATAGTGGAACATGGTTTGTGGAAGCTTGAACTATATAGAAATATATAGACATGACCATAAAAGAAGAACGTTTCTGCTAAGAGCCTTCCTCAGCAAAATGTTGTTTCTTCATTTGTCCTGTTTGCTAAGAAAGACTCTTAGCCGAAACATACTTCTTTTATTGTCTTGTCTTTATATTTCAAGCTTCCACCGGTAAATGATGAGAGAGGATGCCATGATTGGCTGCCATCTTGGTTGAGAAGACCAGTTAATTCTGTCACTAAATCTAAGTAAATGTATCCCTAAACCTAACCTGAATCTTGATTCACGGCAACTTATAAACACCGAAAAGACATTGTGGCATCCACAACTATCTTTAGCCCTTCCACCCTGTTCCACTATTTCCTTTACACAGCTTGAACGCATTCCTTCATTTATTATCCTTTAATTAGAAGTTTTTTTAATTTATTGGATAGCCTTTTATTTAAAAAATTTAAATCAAGATTACCAAAAAATTAACTGCATTGTAAAATGTATTTGTATGCGAAACATCTAAATTACAAACTTTATTGTCTCTAAAAGTATTCATCGCTTGATAATTTAATTTTGATTCCAAAAGGATTAAAATAAAATAAATTCTTGCCTAGGAACATTTCCCCTGCAATTTAAATGCTTCAGTGTTGTGAATATGGGCATTAAACTGATCAAAATGTCCCGTCTTCCCTTACATTTTTTGTTGCAAAAATCACATTAATTAATCATGTACAGATATGAATTTATAGTTTTAAACATTTTTATTTTATGGGCATGGTTTACCCAAATGAATGTATGAAAACTTTTGCAATAAACCTACTTTTAGCAATTGATATTGGTTTCAATTATTTCTTATACTTATTTACCGGTATGTTAAAATAATTGGCAGTCTCTTTGAATGTTTTTATAATACTTATCCAGTTAAGTAACTTTATTGTTTAATATCTACACACACAAAGCTATAGCTATTAGCAGATATCCTCTTTTCTTACCAGGTTTTTAATGGATAAAGCAGATTTTATACAGGTTATTTCACTGAATAGATTTCACTTAAATTTGTTTAGCACCCACAAAAAAGGAAACTTAAAATATAGAAATAGACACCTATATGTCATTAGCTTTCAAATAATTATCTGATTTTAACTTTAGACTAACAAGAAAAGATATCCCTAAAACTACAGGGGTGGGAAATTATGGCTCGTGAACCATTTTGAATGGCTCACACTGTTTTTTTTTTCTTCAAAAATGAAATTATTGAAATAATCAAAAATGGAAAAAAGAGAAAAAAAAATTAATGTATAACTTAAATGTTGGATTGCAGATGTCACTACTAAACTATATGAATAGGTTTGCTTTTTCTCGATTTTCTGGTGATATCCCAGTTTCTCTGTTTTGTTTTGATTGAGTCCATTCTTTTTTTTTTATTGGGACAATCAGTTATGCAATTATACTGTAATTATTACAGAATATTTTTGTTCTTATTTATTTACACATGATATTGTTATTATTAATATGGCTGGAGAAAAATAGCAAACATGATTATAAATTCCCTATGATTCGGAAAAAATGCCCCCCCCCCCTTTGGTTTTTCCATTTAGATGTAGGGCTTCCATGCCTCTGCTACCTCTTGAATCTGGCTCGCAACAACAAAAGTATGCCCACCCCTGACCTAAAAGTAAAAGAAACCTAAAAAAAAATCCTAGTATTTCTAGAACTTCCTCTCCCCATGTTTATACACAGAAAAACAGATAAATCTCAACTTTGCATAAAGTCGGTAAGCCCATAAATTAAAGTCATAAATTATGAAGGTTATAATTATAAATTATAAAATAGTTTAATTAAAGTAGTCTCAACTTGGGCCAAGTGCCAAATGGCTAATTAAAATTGTTTTTAAAAGTATATTAGGTACTACATTTAAATGCGATTGTACTAAAGTGAGTACATACGTGCAGTAATTTGGGTAGACTAAATTTAATTAAATACTCTACGCTTGCCAATTGTCGATTTCAATAATAACTAGCCTATAACTTAAAATTTAACACAACAAACACAATATGGCATATTAATCGCCATGGTTACCGAACTCATTTGAAATAGAAACATTTTTAAGGCAATCATTTATAATTTTATGTCTGCTCAGATCCAAAAGAGTTACTGCAGGAACTATGCAAAAACATTTGCTTATCCATTCTCTTCATCAAAAGAAAATATTGTGACGCTCCCAATTGTAAAATAAGTTTTTTTAATACAGTATGTTAATTTCATAAATTAAGTTAAGTACATGTTACTCAGTTCAGTACGGCAAGTAATAAGTAAGGAAGGCTACTTCTTTAACTTTAGCTGTGACTTTAGCTTAACTGCAGCTGCCTATTTTCGATAGCTGTCTAATTCATCCATTTATAAATTATATATAGTCGTAGATATAATTATCATTAGGCCTATAATTTTATAAAGTTTCACGAATTATAAAATAAAGGAGAGATGTCGCCACATGGCCGCCATCTTGGTTGACACAACCAGTCAATTCTGTCACTAAACTGTCTAAACCTAAAGTTTAAACTAAATCACTAAATCATACTAAATGTAGGCGTAGGCGTATACCCTAAGCCCTAAGTCTAAGCCTAAGTGAATCCCTAGCCCTAACCCTAAATGTATCCCTTAACCTAACCTGAACCCTAATTCACTGCAACTATAATAAACATGCAAATGACGTCATGGCGACATCTCTCTGTATTAGTCTAAAGCCGCCCTAGTCCTAGTATCTTACACTTACTTACTTTTTTTTAAATTGTGTAGGCCTTCTGAACTGTTAGTAATCTGACTAAACTTGATTTAGACTAAGAGTAAGACTTTGACTGATAATTAAATTAAAATTATTAGGTACTTTGAAACAAATTTTAAATATTGTAATATTTACTAATATTTTCCGATTGCCATAAATGATACATCACAAAGGGCTATCTATTAAGATAAGCTTTATCCTTTATTATAAAAATATAATTTTCACCTCTCTAAATAGAACTGAAATTATGATTTTTATGTTTGTGTGTCAGTGCCTTATATAAACTATATATATATATATATATATATATATCCAAAAAAACTTGTGACCCACTATTAAATTTTTTGCACTACATAATAAAATTTTACTATTTGACACATAACTTCTTTATTTTAAAGTTAAGTGTACCGAATTTCAGGAGATATTCTCAATGAAATATACATAATTCATCACAATGACAAACCACAAATGTTTCACATTACGTAATAAATATTTATTTTTTGCGAACAAATAAAAAATTCCGTAAAAAATTTTTTTTTGTTTGCATGTGATACAAAACATTTGCAAGTTTATTCCATTTTAAATTGATAACCTAATCAAATAAATTTTAATTACAGTGATAATGATTTTTTTGACAGAACTTGAAAATACTTGTGAAGAAAAATTATTATATTTTCAATTAATTTTTTTGTTTTAAATAACAGGTCTGTGGGCATACAGTAAAATAATTAAATGAAATTTTAAAATTATTAAATCAGTTATAATTTATAATATGATATTAATAATAAGCTCTTTAAAAAAAAATTAAGGTCCTAAAAAAGAAGAGTGGAAAATGTTTTGTAAAAAGTAGTATAAATAATGGCAAAAACCAATAAATCAATAAATAGTTCATACATGTTTAAGCATTTACACAAAATAATGTTCGAAATAAATGCAAGCAGTAATTAAGAATAGCAACTATCCATCTCTGTGGCGCTACAGTCCATGTAGGCCTCACCACTTCCTTTCACTCAGACCTAACTAATGCTTTTCTTTTCCATGCTTGGATTCCCAGCTGCTGTTGATCTTTTTCCAAATCATCCATCCATCTAAGCCTAGGTCTGCCTTTGCACTTTCCTCTGTGGTTTTAGTGATTTACCCTCTTCACTCCTTTGTCATTTGGCATTCTCTGTGGTTTTAGTGATTTACCCTCTTCACTCCTTTGTCATTTGGCATTCTTTCTAAGTGTCCTGCCCAGCACAGCCTACCCTTTGTTATTTCTGATACTCACATGGGATTTTGAAGTAAACTGTACAATTCCTCCTTCATCCTGTGTTAGTTCATATATTTTACGGCTTTCCGGAGTACTTTTCTTCCCCATGTGTTTAATAGGTTTTCTGACATTTTTGTTAGGGTCCAAGTTTCACTTGTGTATGTTACAACTGGTCTGATTACAGTTTTATAAATAGTTTTTTTTGTTTATTCTTGTTATATTTTTACTTTTGAGTATTTTCTAACTAAATTGTGCCCTGTTTCAGCTGATATACTTTCTTAGTTTCTGTTAGTAATTAGTTTCTTTCATTTAATAAAGATCCTAGCTATTTGAATTGATTTACTTTTTCAAAAGTCTGGTTTCTAATTTAAATGGCTTCACCTGTCTGTTCTTCTATTATCATAGTCAACTAGCATTAAAAGTTAATATAAAATCCTGATAAAGAAAAATAGAAAAAGTATTAAAAAAGTATTCAAGAAAAAATAAAAATAAATAGTTCCTACATTAAATATTTAAGCAAAATAATTGTATAAATAAAACTAGGGTTGCCAGGTCTGCTTCCAAAAAATTGCCGGGTGGGGTGGGGTTGTAGTAAAAAAAAAAAATTTTTACATTTTACATTTAAATTATATATTGTCTTACAAACCTTTTAACATATTAAAATAATCACTTGAAAATTTACTTAAAATTTAAAAATGTCTACTATTTTGTGAAAAAAAAATAGTAAACATAATATGAAAAAAGGGGACTGTCCGCTCAAATGGTTGTACGGGAGTCGGCCATGACCACTTTAATCATCAGAGTTTGTGCTAGTTCTGTCTGTGGGTGCGCAGATGGCTAATGAGGCCGATTCTGGCACAAATTTCTTTTGTGCAGTAGGTGCAGGGGAATGATGGCGCATTTCCGGGAGCAGAGTCAGACCGGGCCTTCATTGCATGTCTCTTGCGCTCAGCAGCCGCTGTTCTGCCAATTTCATGTTGCATGGAGCTCCTGTGTAAAGTGGAACGCCATGAAGTTTGGTCCTTTGCTTTTTCCTCCCACGTGTCTGGGTTTATGTTGAAGCGCTTTCAGTGAGGCTTTTATGTTGTCTTAAAGCGTTTTTTCTGCCCGCCAGCAAACCGCTTTCCTTGTTCAAGCTCACCATAGAAAATTCTTTTGGGCAGACGGTCATCTGACATTCTCACAACATGTCCCACCCAGCGAATTCGCAGGGACTTCATTAAGATTCTGAAGATGCTGGGGAGACCTGCCCGTGTGAGCACCTCAGTGTCTGGGACCCTGTCCTGCCATTTAATGTTGAGGATTTTTCTGAGTCTTGTTGTATGAAAGTGGTTCAGCATTCTTGCATGGCGTTGGTAGACCGTCCACGTTTCACAGGCATAGAGAAGTGTAGGGAGAACAGCCGTCTGATATACTTTCAGTTTAGTATGAGTGCTGATACCTCTCCTGGTCCATACGTTCTAAGAACCACTCAAATAGTGGACACCTGGCAACCTTAAATAAAACTAGCATTAAAAGTCAAGGTAACAGTCTGAAAAAGAAAAATTGGAAAAGTATCAAAAATGTTATCAAGGCAAAAAAAAAATCGCTTTCCTAAATTGAAATTATCAACATCTACACATTATAATTTTATAAATAAATGCAAACAGTAATTAACAATCATTAGCATTAACAGTTTAGATAAGAGCATAAAAAAGAAAAATGGAAAAGTAGGTTTCAAAAAATAATCCAGGCAAAACCAAACAACAACAAAATCAATGGCTCATACAATTTTTAAGTATTTACACAATAAAATCTATAAATAAATGGTAACAATTATTAACTCTAGCATGAAAAGTGAACAAAATAGCCTGAAAAAGAAAAATGGGACAATTATTAAAAAAGTAATCGATTCTAAACTAAACGGCAAAATCAATAGTTCATATATTTTAAAAGTATTTACACATAATTATTTTCTTAACCATTTCTCTACCGATGACATCGATGCGACGTCACGATCACCTACTTTCAATTACCAAGGATGTCACATTGCCATCATAACAAAGAGGCAAAGAACTTTTCTGAAATACCAAGGACATCACATCGACGTCATATTTCAATGCTATATCTCTCTTTATTCGTTAATCTATAGAAAAGTTAAAAAAGTGAATCCGATAGAGAATGAAAAATACCGAAAATTTCTTCTTCTTTTTTTTTTTTTAATTTAAAAAAAAAAAGAAGAAAAAGTTTTTATTGCTGAGTAGGCAAAAATCAAAGCTCAAAACTAAACAAAAAAAAATTTAAAAAAATAAATAACATAAAAAAAAAAAAAAAAAGAAAATTTATTATTTTTTTTTTTTTTTTAATTTAAAAAAAAAAAGAAGAAAAAGTTTTTATTGCTGAGTCAGCAAAAATCGATGCCCAAAACCAGCGGTATTGAAGGGATTAATAAATGCTAAAAAGTATTAATATTAACATTAAATGTAAACAAAGCACCCTGAAAAGGGAACATGAAAAAAAAATGTAGTCAAATAAGAAGACAAAACCAAACTGCAACAAAGTATATGAAATTATCTAAATAAAACTAAAATCTCCCATTATGGTATTTGTAATTAAAACAGTAATTGGAATCACCTGAATGTCATCTACACTATAAACTACATGACAACTCTTCTTTTTGTTACCCATTCAAATACTTCCCCTTCAAAGGCCTTGTCTCCTTCATCAACATGCCTGATAGGTAAGTGCAGGCAGTCTTCAGAGTTCTGAAACAATGAAGTAAATTTTTCTTTAGTACCTGGGAGAAGACTAGAAAAAACATCATCATCCAACCCTTATCCAGATTCAAGACAATTTCTAATGTTTCTTTCTAATTTATATCTATCTGTCATTTCCCTTTTCTGCGCTAGTTCTGTCTGTCTAAAGATTACCGTCTCATTAACTTATTCATACACTTACAAAATTTAATATATGTAGGCCTAGAATAGTATATAATATTATAAGTATAGGCCTAGCCTCAGAACATCTTATTATTTGCAGGACCCATTATTAATTATAAATAATTATAATTGAATGAATATTATGATTATTAAGGCATAATCTAAATAGAAATTAAACAAATTTTCACTTACGTTTGAAATTAATATATCCTATAGTTAATCACATATCACAATATTCCACAAAAGAATTATTATATGATCCTCAGTATTCTCACACTTTCTGGCACAATATTCTAAGAATTACTTGAAGACTTAAGATATTCTTTTACTAAAGAGTAAAGAACAATTGTGATAGTAACTTGTAATTGCTTATTTTACAAGAACTTATTTTAATTTCTATCAATCGCCAAAGTTGATTTTAATAATACATGTTGATTTGTTAAACAAGTTAACTAAATTGAAATAAATGACATAGCTTTTTTTTCTTAATTATAATTTATATAGGACTATATATTATATAAATATATAATGGTAAAATAAAAAGTATAATCATCAAATTTAACTAAATTGATCCTTTTATTATTTGTTTATACTTACTTATAAATGTTAAACAGTTCCACAGACACTTTAGATATTAATTTCAACGTATTATCTTAATTAATGAATAATTAATTAAGTAAGTGAAAGCAATAAATAAAGAATATTATTATTATTGGGAATGGTACAAAATATTTAGATAAAAAATAACTAATTAAATACAAATAAGTGTTGAGGCAACATATTTTATATACATTTTTTTAACAGGGGAAATTATAAAGATTAAAATTAATCTTTTTGGAAAATTAAAAATAACTAAATTTATATTTTGTGGCTTTATTTAGTCCAACTCATCACTAACTTTATTTTCTGATAATATTATATTTTTATCTCATCTTATAATAAAGTTGCATTTAAAAAAAAAGCAAAATAAGGTTCACGAAATGAGGAATAAAACTCCATAGTAAAAAATTTGTCAGAAATATATGTGTGCATGTATGTGTATATGTATATATATATACACACTCTAGCTAAAGCCTGCCAAACACTGGCGACGCAGTGCGTGAACTTTTTTTTTTACAAAAATAGTTTCAATTCAAATTACACCATATTTGAATTGAGAATATTTTCATAAAACAAAAGAAAATACTAAGCACCAAATGAACTTGCATTATTATTAAGAACCATAGCGTTAGTGATGGACATTGGTACATAGAGTATTATGTATGTTGATGATTCATATATATGTGTAAAGACAAACAAAACTATTGGTATTTATATATTATATTTATATATTATATATATAAATATTTACATTTGCCTATAGTAAATGAGATTTTAAAAACTGATAACTGAATAAAAACATTGATGAATCTATTTAAATCTTAATTTCCCTTATATTTGTAGCTTTCAGTATATTATCCATGTTAATTTTACAACTACTTTTTGACTATTGCTTTTTTTCTTCTTTTTTTATTTATTTTAGGTAGTTGCATAATACAGAAATGACAGAAAATGGATCCCTTAAAAAAAGCCTTGCAAAGATAAATTCTTTTTTTCAAGACCCGAAATTTAAATGTGACCTTTGCAAAAAATGCTTCTGGGATACTGCTAATCTTCATGATCATATTCTTCAGCACATTTCAGGGAAAACAGTTTTCCCTTGCCAGTACTGCAAACATACATTCCACACTGAGGTTGAATGTAAAACACATGAGCGTCTTCATGTTAAAAATGCGACCTTTCACTGTCTTCATTGTTTGTTGTCCTTTTCCTTACCTAAATATCTTGTAGAACATTGCATGCAGCATAGGGAGAAGTCACTCAGTGGTAGTAGTGTCAATGGGAAAAAAAAACACGAGGGACATATTAGTAGCAGAGATCATGTTACTCACATCAACACACAAATCAAGCAGTCAAAGTTATCGAAATCAAAAAATGACGAATCGGAGCAGATTTCAGGGTATGAATGTCCACTTCCCATGGCAGTTAAAGAACCCACCAAGATCATATCGAAAACGTGTGAAGTGTGTGGTAAAGTTTTCGCTCGAGCGGCCAACGTCCTTCAACATATGAAATTGCACAGGGGAGAGAGACCCTTTCCCTGTTCACTTTGTGGGAAGACATTCCATCGATCAGATCACCTTAAAGCCCATGTGAGGATACATTCCAAGAAAAGACATTTTCAATGTGAACATTGTGATGAAACGTTTAAACGTAAAGACCACCTTAAATACCATCAGATCAACTTTCATGGGGTGAAAATTTCTCTTAATGAACTTCGAAGATATTCCAGGCATGCATTCAGTCAGCCTCAAAAGAAGACAATTCTGTGTGATGTGTGTGGGATTTCATTCGGCAATGAGAGGAATTTAAAAAACCACCTGAGGATACATTCCAACCAGGGCAAGTACTCTTGCCAGTTCTGTGCCAAGTCTTTCAATCAGAGTTCAAATCTTAACATACACCTACGTAAACACACAGGCCAAACGCCGTATAAATGCTTAAACTGTGATAAATCTTTCACCACTTCTGCCAAACTAAAAACCCATGCCAGGAAACATACGGGTGATCTCCCCTTCACCTGCAGCTTATGCGGTCGCCTATTCGGCCAAGAGCATTTGTTGAAAATGCACATGAGAATTCATAATGACCATAAACAGTTCAAATGCAGCCACTGCGATAAAATGTTCATGCACAGCAGCACCTTGCGAGCCCATGTCAGGACACACACAAAAGAGAAGCCTTATCGGTGTGATGAGTGTGGGGACAGCTTTGCCCAGATTTCTAGTCTCACCTACCACAGGAGAACCCACAGTGGGGAAAAACCTTACTCCTGTGATATTTGTGGGAAATCATACACTCGGAGTGCTACTTTGAATGTTCACCTGACCAGGCACACAGGACAGAAGCGCATCTCTTGTCCTCGGTGTGAGTTTAAATGTGACACCCCTAAGAACCTGAGGAAACACATCGACAAGCTCCACGGTGAGTTGAAGGATTCTGGAGATATGCTGTTGAAACAGGCGCGAACGAGGGTTGTGGGGGCGTTGTATGCCGAGTCTGTGATCAATTCTAACAATGTTACCCATCAGAGTTTAACCAATAGTTCAGAGGCTGATTGTGAATCTGTTTATGGCAGCAGCTGTCCAACAACACAAGCTCAGGAAATAACCACCCAAGATTTTAGTTCTTCAGGACATTTAGATGCAGGTGCCATGGTGTATTCCAGCAGCTCAACATTGGCAACCGACAGAATACGAGATTCTCAAATCTTGAACTCCATACCACATTCCAACCAAACTTCAGTGGAGACGTCCACCAGTGTCAGTAATTGTAACTCCTCCAACATTGGGCAGGCCCAGTTTTATAGCTGTTACATCAACTACTCCATGCTGTCCCCGCTTCAGTTTGACCTGAATCAGATGCAGCCCGCGCCTCTGGGAACATTTTTCCCTGTGCACACCCCTGATCCCACTCTGCTGCCCGACAGTACAGTCATTTACATTAGACCCAATTCACTACAAAATGACCACATCAATTTTTCTTTGTACCCATCTTTGGTTACAGAAAATATTTCTGTTCCCACGCAGATTTCGTTCAATGGTGCACAGATATCATCTCCAGGTCAGTTGAGCACAAGCGTTCCTGCCTCTGTGCAAACCCCATTCTATCATCAGTCATGCCACAATCAGGCCAACCCTGGTAATGGCGCCCCACATTCACAAACTCAGTTTGAAGTGGCAAGTGACTCTGTACATCCACAGGGGTCCTCAAACACCCTTGATCCGCTGGTGGTCCCAGCTTTTCTGCGCAGTGACCAAATTATTTGCCAGGACCATATGCACAGCACGGGTGATGATTTACGGATGAAAGATGAGTCTAAGGATGGGCAGGAAAATTTAATAAGCAATAAATTGAAAACAGTTAGAGATGATGTTGACAATGAAGGTGAACCTGTTGAGAAAGAAGATCAAGATTTGTGCCAAAAATTTGAAAGTAGGGACAAGGAATCAAAAGATTCAGAAGTAAAACTCTCTCATTTAAAAAAATTAGTATTACCACCATTGATTGCACCCCCCCTGCCAACAAGCTCCAAGAAGTCGGTTGTAAGGCTGGTAAAATGCAGCAAGGCTAAGAAATCAAAAACCAAAAAATATAATAAAAAATCTGGTCACGTTGATAAAATTTCAAAGAGAACAAAAGATGACTCGCAAAGCAAAGAACAAGCCGAGTGTAAAATTTGCGGACAGAAATTTTCTCGCGCCGGGAACCTGACCACGCACATGAGACTTCATAGTGGTGAGCGCCCATACGCTTGCAATGTTTGCAGCAAGACGTTTTCCCGTTCTGACCACCTGAAGACCCACAAACTTCTTCATGGGGGAGACAAAACTTTGCTGTGCAACCACTGTGGAGAAACATTCCCCACTGTGGAGCAGCTGCGTGGCCACATTGAGGACATGCATGAAAACATGAACCCTTTTGCCTGCAATGCATGTACCTTCTCCTGCATTCACCTTGGGGAGCTGAAAGATCACATCAAGAGCCATGAGGGAAAGCTCTCATTTGGCTGTCAGGTGTGTTGCATTAAGTTTTTGAAAGCCAAAGATTTGAAAAAGCATATGTTTTCCCATAGCGGTCACAGTCCGTTCACGTGTCACATGTGCCATAAAAAATTCAAGGAGAGTTCTTGTCTTAAACTGCACATCAGGACAAAGCACACGGGAGAAAAGCATTTCAAGTGTGGTGTGTGCGGGGATGCTTTTGTCACAGCTGCCAAGCTTCAGAGGCACATTCGTCACCACAGTGGCATCCGTCCATACGCTTGTGAATTTTGTGGGAAGATGTTTATCGATACATGCTTGTTGAAGATGCATGTTCGAATCCATACCAAGGAGAAGCCATTTAAATGCAAGCACTGCGAGCAGTGTTTTACTCACCCAAGCACATTACGAGCACACGTTCGCATTCATACGGGCAACAAGCCATACTCTTGTAACCTTTGTGATGCTTCATTCTCTCAGGTATCCAGCCTGTCTTACCACCAGAGGAAACACGACAGACTCAAGCCCTACACTTGCCACGTATGTGGAAATTCATACACACGCTCAACCACACTAAACATTCACTTGACCCGCCATACTGGTTTGAAACGTGTGTCTTGCCCGCACTGCCCGTTTAAATGTGACACTCCTAAACATTTGAGAAAACATGTTGCGAAACTACACACAGGAAATGAGTCTGCAAAAATTGTTACCTTAGAATCTAAGCATGATATTCCCCTACGAGAAACCCAAAAGCAGCACAACTTTGAAGCCGTGGAGATACCTCTCAAAGAAACCCAGCTGGTTCATCCTCAACCCTTTGAAGAACTGCCCGTTAAAGAGCACCAGATTGTTTTAAATCAAGTTCCGCCATCTTTGAGCATGTCAGAGTGTCTGCCACCCATACCAGTTCCACAATCTTTGAGCGTGCCAGAGCTTCTGCCCCATTTACCATTCCAGCAGTATGAGAACAGGGACCAGATGGTTGAGGGTTGTGCCCTCACTAACCAAATGGTGGACAGCAATCAACAAGTTTTGAGGTCCCTCATTTTATCTGGTTCAAATGATTTTGTGACCAGAAATGTTATGTTAACCTCCAGTACACTGAATCAGTTATAGTTTTTGAACTTTGTAAAGCTGAATGAGATGTTCACTAAGCAAAGGCTGACTGCAGATTCTCATTACATTTCTTGGCGATGATAAAATTATTTAAGATAGTCTCTGATGTTGAATTTAAAGGTTTGCCAACTTTAAGTTTTTTTTACATAACCAGCTGTATTTAATCAGGAACAGAAAATAAATTCATCATGACTTCATAACCTGAAAGGAGTCATTTTTTTGTTTTCAAAGAAATAATTTTTTAGATATAACTTTGTGGTCAATTAGCAAATGTAATGCAGCCTTCGAAGTGGCCGCCCCTCCTTCCCATTATATACCATGACTTTCTACTTGAAAATGAGCTACCCAGCAAACCATGGTAGCTAATGACCCAGCAAACCAGGGTAGCTAATGACCCAGCAAACCAGGGTAGCTAATGACCCAGCAAACCAGGGTAGCTAATGACCCAGCAAACCAGGGTAGCTAATGACCCAGCAAACCAGGGTAGCTAATGACCCAGCAAACCATGGTAGCTAATGACCCAGCAAACCATGGTAGCTAAAGGTGAATATGATTTTCAAAACAAAATCTGACATAATGTATTTCAACAAACAAGTGAAAAGTTTTCTAATAACTACATCAGCAAAGAAAAAATTTAAGTGTTTTTGTTTTTTTAACCTTTGGAAATAAAACATTTTACAACTATACAACCAGTGGTCAATTTAAGTTTTCCATTGGCAATGGATCATGTTTATGTTGATTGGCTGTGGTTGAGAACAAAAAAACGCCTGTGGACAGCACAGTGGTGTCGCCAGTATTTGGGTGTCATCCATTGTTTATGGTTTAAAAAAAAAAAAAAAAGGCCATTGATATTGAGTTCAGTCCTTGTGCAGTTGAACCAATACAAGATAATTTTTTTTTTCATAGATGTCAATTAGTGTGCAACGTCCATGTCAGGGTATGGATTTGTTTTACATTTTTTTTTAAAAAGTGTATCTATAATTATAATTCAACAACCACTAAAAACATAGGTTTTCGTAGAAATCCTTTATAAAATGCAATATTGAGCAATGAGGGAGGGGTTGAAAATTTGACAAAACATCCATCCAAGTAACGCACTTTATAAGAATCCCAATTAATTAGTGCTCTCCCCACTTCACTTAAGGCTCACAACCGCACATTTTTTTCAAGCCACTTAACTATATTAATATTCTAATGAACCATCCACTTTTACACCACAGATTTATTTCACCAACAATATTAGAAAAACAAAAGAAAACATTACGCACCAAACCCACTTGCGATATTTTTTTAAAAAGAATCTCATTTAACACAGTTGTTGGAAATTTTATCTTGCCCTTGAAAAACTGATTGTTTGGGTGGGGGGGGGGGGCGGTGCTGAAAATTTGGTAGGATGCGTTGTCATCGGCAATGAGTCTATGTGCCAAGTTTCAGGTCGATAGCTTGATGGGGAATGGGCCAATTAGCTGTCCGAAAATTTTGCCCTCAGCCAGCCACCCACAAACAAAAGCAAAGTTAATAATTTATAAAAAGGATTTAAAAAGAACAAAAATTCAAGGGACTTTTTTTTCATTATCATTTTTAATTACAGAATTTAATAATAACCTTTATAATGAAGTGAAACATTATTTACTGTGCTAGAAATGTTAATGTTGGCATACAATTTTCAAATAAGATTATGTTGGCATACAACTTTCAAATATAACTGCATATAGCATTTTTGTTTTTTTTTAGTTAAAAAAAAAATGGCAAAACACATTTCAATATACAAATATTTTATAGTTTTCATTGTATGTTTAAATAATGTCCTCAGCTCCATTAGTTGTCATAACAATAGCTCCTAATATTTCACATCAATTTATGTGACACATTCTTTTAGCTTCATGCATTATATTTGTGATACAATTCTTTGAAAGTTTAATAGAATCGTGACTTCAGGTATTACCAGCATATGAGAACAATGTCATCATCATTGTCTTATAGAAGAACAGTCAACACGATTGTTATATAATGGTTCAAACTAATAACCATTTTATTCAACTGCTACTCTGATTAAATAATTACCTTCTACCATAATCAATTAATTAAATTTTAAAACAACATTATCTTTCTAAAACTGAACATAGTGTATATTAATTTTTAAAATCATTATGTAAAACATTCAAATTCCTGGAGGAGAAAAAAATTTAGGTACCGGTAGTAGCACAAATATGAAGAAAGGTTCATAATATAATATTCTAACTAGACTAACATTTTCCAGGAAGCTAGAAATAATGATAGATATTAGAAATTTCTGAAATCTGCACAGTTGGGAATGTTCTAAGTCTTATAACAAAGGTGAATCATTTATGAAAGTTATGAACTGGCCTTGTGAGTGTGATTGTTTGTGTATGGAATCCAAGTGTTGATCATGAGTTGGTGAATGGTTTGATGAGGGCAAATAACAGAGCTGGCCCTCACCAAACTATTCACCAACACTGCAACAATATTGCTCACAAATCCAGTTCATAACAATCAACAACGTTCAGTCAACCTAAATAAGACATTCAATTTTATTACCATTTACCAAATGAAATTCGATTACAAAGAAAATTGCACACCACTAAATAAAAATATAAGGTTACGAGCACAAAATTATAGAAATTACAATAAATATGGAAATTAATGTGAAAATTTCAACTAAGAAAGATAAATTTTAACTTAAGTAGACATTTTCCATGATGCCATCTACAATAACAAAAGAGCTCAGAAAAAGATTAACAAATATTAACGCTACACGGTGTTCACATGTAAAATTTGTTTTCCATCAATGACTTTATTAGTGCTCAACACCCTGATGAGATTAGAATCCTGAACCCAAGCCACGAATACATCGATAAATTACAGATCCTTTAAATCATTCCCTACATCAACATGTAATTACATTTATTTACATATCAGTGTATTTTCTTATTAATCACAGAAAGAGATCTGCAGTGTGTGCTGCTGTGTGACAAAATATGCAATCACAGAAAAATAATTATTGTGATTTAAAAAAACAGTTGAAGTTATACAGCTGCTCCAGATACTCTAACTTTGTTTATAATATACTATAATAGAGTGCCCTAGAATTTGAAACCTGGGTTAGAAATAAGATGTCACATGATTTAATCAGAAATTATGTTTTGTTTCAACTTGTCACAGAAAGGTTGTATGTATGCAGTTGTGTGGCTAGGGCCAGTGTCACATGGGGCGGACCGCACCCACCTACATACGCCAGTGGTAAAATATCTAAGGAATGTAATGTTGTATTTTTTTAAGACTCGGTGCATCTTTAAGATCTGAAAGAAGTAAGGGAACTCATAAGTTTAGAATGGAAAATTTATATGAACCAATTTATAGTAAGACAAAATCTCAAAACCTAATTAAGAATCGTTTAGATTTTGCAGACATCATCAATACCAGAATGATCAATACATGGATCGTGGACCCTCAAAATATAGAAGAAAAAGAAGGATACAAATCCTAAATAAACTTTATCAAACTGATCATAAGTTAAGGGAAGAAGAGGGAGAATTAAGTACTTCATTAAAAGTGATCTAAAAATATGTATTTTTTCAAATGATAAAACGTCAGCCCGTATTCTACATCTCACATCATTGTCAGTGACATTCAAAGTGGTCATTCACAATTGAGCAAAGCACTGTTGACAACATTTTAATTCAATATATGTTGTTTCTTGTGGTAAACAATTGAAAATGTGGATGGCTAACTAAATGGCAATATTTTAAAAATGGATAGTTTTATGTTTTTTTTCTAATGATATAATTCTAAACCGCTGTCTAGACTTCCAACCTGATCAATTTTCCACAGAATGTTATAATACTTTATAGAGGCGTTTAAATTTGTCTCACATGAGTGAAACCTTGAAATTTTATTGACAAACATTTTAATTTTGTTTACTTATGGGCACATTTATGTTATATAGAGAATTATAAAGTATACACATGTATTCAGTACATTCAAAAAAGATGGTACAATTGTTTTGTTTTTTTTATTTATAATGTTCATGTGAAAGACATTATGGAAAAAGCAATCATGTAGAATAAATTGTCTCCAACCATTATGATACAGATTCTCAATGTACAATATCTGAAGGATGAATTCAATGACAGTAATATTTCAAATCGTTATATGTCTTGCCATTTCCAAACAACAAATTATTCTGAGCTCAAAGATTCCATATGTGCTTGTAAATTTTTATTTGGGGGGGGGGGGTGGGATGTTTCAAAATTCTGACACCGATTATCAATTCACTTTTTGTGACTTTAATTTTAAGCCAAACAGGATAGAAGATATATTATAGACAGGGTAATGGACCCAAAGTCAAGTTTTGTGAACAAATTTGTCTTTGAAGCTCGTGTAGACATAAAAGTTTGCATCAATTGTCAACAATTTTGATATAAAATTTTAATTAGGTTCAAAATGAGACACATATTTAGTCATGGCTAAAAATGATAGTAATGGTGAATATCACATAAATCATGATTTATTTTTTTTGCACTAGATTAAGATGAATGTTGTAAAAAATATTACCAAGAAAAATCTCTGAGTCGCCCACTTGCATTTTTACACAAAATTTAAGCCAATTTTCAGGAGATGATAGACAGATAAACAGAAAACAATGATTAACAGTTTACTTACATATGGATTTAATTTTGGACTCCACCATAAAATGAAAAGTCAATTTCAATTTCCTTGTGAATAGTATTAGACGCTATTTGCTTCACACCAATATCACCACCATTTGAAAGGGACACACACTGGTCAAATACTTCTACCAATCTATTTGGTAATAGCATTCAATACTATATATTTTTAACAAAATTAATAGTGAACTTTCATCGTGAACTATGGTGGGTGATTGTCACAACTATAGTGGGTGACTGTCACTACTGTAGTCAGGGATTGTCAAAACTAGTGGGAGATTGTCAAAACTCTAGTGGGGGATTGTCACGACAGAGAGGGATTTTTAAGTTGGGTACACAGTGGAGGATTGTCACAACCCTCAAAATTGCTTGTCAAAGGTAATGAGCAAATAGAACAATTGTATTGCATGGCCGATTGGTTCTGAAACTTATTTTTTTTTTTTAAAATAAAACGTTAAAATTGTGGTAATCTAATAAACTTTTTAAAAATAATTAAAATCAAATTCTTTAATGGCACAGCTCATTGACACTTGCTGAAACCTGATGTATTGTTTCAAACAAACACATAAAAACGTTTCCATCCCATGCACATATTTTATAAGATTTTATTGTTTATAGGGAGGATTCCAATATAAACTGATTATATATGTTTAGAATTTCTAACCAAAAAAAAATGATACACTTGTGTGTTGTTGTTTTTTTTAGAACACTCCTGTGACAACAAGTTCTGTGCTAATTTCTTCAAATTTAACTTTTAAAATATTTTTATAATTATTTTTCAAATGAACCGCTTCTCTGGAAAAGTACAAATTTCATCATCACAGGTAATTTTAACATAATTCTACCAATTCTTTGATAAAATTGTAATGTTGTTAAACAGCTAATTAGCATCATAATTTTGTTATAAATAATTATTCTCTTTTACATGACAAAAAGCTGAATGAACTTCTAGGACATAAAATAACATCAAAACAACTTACTTCCATTTAAATTTAATGAATCACAACATATTAATATCCATAATTTATGGATAAGATATTTATTATGTACATAAAAATAGCAATGCTCGTTGCTAAAGCATCAAAATAAATATATGACGTATTTCGGACATTAAATAAAAAAAATTTATACACATCTCTTGTCAAACAACATTAGACATAACTTGTCTTTAACAGGGAACTAATGTTTTTGTACAATTAAAACAACAGAAAAGCTGATCCCTCCATAAATATGTTTAAATTGAAAAGCCAATGAAACCTCCACATTTTGTTTCCCACACCTAATTACAGTTAGTGTCTCGTCAGTCTAGTTGACTCCATCCCCTTTTCAAACTGCATGCCCAAATAAATCTTTGCTAACAAACTAATCAAGATGTCAGGCACACAGTTACATTATATGTCACTTACAGTTTAATTTTGATGGCATTTAGAACTTTTTTTACATTAATTTTTTTTTCCCTTACGTGTCTAACAGTGGTTGGAACAAAAATGGCTCTGGTTTGTTTCCATCAACTCACCACCTCACTTCTCCGGGTCTCTTGCCGGGGTCAATGTGTTCCAGTTGTGGTTTGCATACCTGATCGAGCCGAACCCATCCTGGGGCCTGCAGAATGGAACCCCTGACTGGGGATGAAGTTGTAGTTTGGTGGATACTGGTTTGGATACCTGAGGTTGTGGACGCCCGCATTAGGAGGCGGAACATGCCTCAGGAACTGTATGTTGGGTATACGAGGGGGCCCCTGGTCGAACGGTCTGTAAGGTGGTCGTTGACTGAATACCTGCGGAGGAGGACGCGTGAACTGTCCAGGAAAATTGTTGGATGGCCGCGGGTTGGCCCACTGCTGTGATCGGTGGCTGCTGGCATACTGCTTGTTATAAAACTCACGATTTGGATATGCAGGACGAGGGTTGGAAAACTGGTTAAAATTTTTCTCTTGAGGTACTGTTCCTATGGGACCAAATCTAAAAATCACCAGGGGAAAAAAATACAAATTAGCGAAGATGCAGTGGAGTGTAACTATTAGACAAAAAAAAAAGACCTGAGCGATGATGTATCAAATCAAAAATTAAAAAATTAAGTAATTCCATATATTAAATGTCCTTTTTTTTGTTGCTTGGATGGAAATTTGATTTGAAAAAGTATATGAAAGTCCTGATACAGTTTCATTCAGCCTAAATGATATAACAAGTTTGTGTAAACAAGGAGATTGTGAATGAGTTATTCTGGATAGCCAGAAAAACTTATAAACGTCAACTTAAAATTTGTTAGCTAATATAGTTTTCAGTCCAGCACTGCTTTCCAAAGGGGTCATCATGGACTGGTGCATGTTCACATGCATCTATCATGAGCTATAACCAAAAGGGTCATCGCAGACGGGTGCATGTTGACATGCATCTATCATGAGCTATAACCAAAGGGGTCATCGCAGACTGGTGCATGTGGACATGCATCTATCTGTCATGAGCTATAACGAAAAGGGTCGTAATGACTGGTGCATGTTGACTTGCATCTATCATGAGCTATAACCAAAAGCAAAGATCAATAAATCTGACTTGAGTCCCTGCTGTAGCATGGATAAATCCCTAGAGTTTGTGAGACTGAAAAAGTTTGGGAAGCACCAGTCTACATTACCTGTCAGCTTGATTTGGGTCAATGAATTTTTTTGGAGGCTCTGCTGGCCTGGAAGAAGCACTCTGGAGTTTTATTAGATCTGGTGAGATAGACAGACGAACCTTTAATTTGATCCAGTCCATTAAAAGTGTAATAGGAAACAGCATATTGTTCATGAATTTCGGAAATAAAATGAATTACAAGTTCGTTAAGTTAAGCTGCCAAGTTTTTTCAAGGATAAATAATGAAGAACAAGTTTGCTCTAGCAAAGAAATGGAAAAGAAAAGTTTCAAATTCATGATAATTAATTAATATAATTAATGTCACCATACAGCTGTCATGATAACTTTTATAGACCTTGGTGTGCTCTTTCATAGATCTTACAAGTTTAGACTATATGTGCTCTACCATATATCTTATAATTTTAGACTTTCCGATGTGTTCTACCATTAGACTATCTGATGTGCTCTACCAAATACCTTATAAGTTTAGACTATTTGATGTGCTCTACCATAGACCTTATAAGTTTAGACTATATGTGCTCTACCAAAGACCTTATAAGTTTAGACTATTTGATGTGCTCTACCATAGACCTAATAAGTTTAGACTATTTGATGTACTCTACCAAATCAATTTATTCATTAACAACTTAATTTTCCTTATTTTATCTATAGTAAAAAAGAAAGAGAGACCACAAAAATTAAGCTTATTTGTTTAAGCTTAGTAGCTTTTGGACTTTATTTTTCATAATTTTTCCATTGCCAGTCCATACATTTTATTCAGGGTGTTAAGGGCTGCACTTGCTATCTGCTGCATTCTGGTTCTAATGTCTTCATTAGTGCCACTCCTCCTTACTGGATATTGTTAAACAAATCTTTGAAGTACCATAGGCTAACATTATCATAAGGTTTGGGCTAACCTACCATAAGGTTTGGGCTAACCTAACCATAAGGTTTGGGCTAAACTAACCATAAGGTTTGGGCTAACCTAACCATAAAGTTTGGGCTAACCTAACCATAAGGTTTGGGCTAAACTAACCATAAGGTTTGGGCTAAACTAACCATAAGATTTGGGCTAACCTAACCATAAGGTTTGGGCTCACCTTGAGTATTCAGTCCATTGATGCTGTCCATATTCACTGGATTGCTTTTACGGGCCTTTTTTTAAAAAAAAACAATATCGGAAAGCAGGGTTCAGAAATATTTTTTGGGTGGAAAAAGCAGAACCAAAGATAAATGATGACCAAAGATAAAAGATGACCAAAGACAAAAGATGACCAAAGATGAAAGATGACCAAAGCTAAATGAGGACAAACGATAAATAACGACCAAAGATAAATGACGACCAACGATAAATGACAACCAAAGATAAAAGATGAACATAGATAAATGACGACCAAAGATAAAAGATGATCAAAGATAAATGATGAACAAAGATAAATGATGACCAAAGATAACTGAAGTTTGTTAATGCAGATTGTAATGACTGGAATAACTTAGCTTATTTAGAGTAAATCGTAAATTGATAGCCTCTTGGGAGTAATTTGATAGTGTATTGAGAGCAATTGGATAGCTTATTTATAGCATTTTAAGAGCATGTTGAGAGTAATTTGATAGCTTTTTTACAGTAATTTGATTGTCTATTAGAGTAATTTGATAGGGTATTGAGAGTAAATTGATAGCGTATTTAAAGTAATTTGATAGCTTATTTAGATTAAATTGATAGCCTATTCAGAATAAATAGATAGCCCAGCATTTTTGTCGCTTATCTGTGCCTAGTCTATTGTTGAGGGAAGACTGCAATAAAGTTTAGAAAGTTCTGTTTTTTTTAAAATAAAATTTAAGAAGTTTATATTTGAAGTCATTAAAAACAACATGTGATTTTTATCTACAACCTCAATAGACAAATTATAGACACTATACCAGACAGTGGATAGAGGTAGAGAGTTATAAAATTGTAAAAATCAGTTTGAGCTTTATGATAATAAAAAATATGAAGCTTAATAAATAGTATTTGACATTTTAATGATCTGTACATCAGGGGTTTATGCCCATATGCCACTGAGCAGCATTGACCTGGCAAAGCCCTGGAACTCACATTCTGGTGATCTTAACCAGCAGTTCAACTCTAAAAAAATGGAACAATGCTATTTTGGCATTGACAAATATAGCCATCAGAACTTAATATATAGTCAAAAAAGTATCAGCACATACGTCTCCCAATGGGTTAATGTTATCCACTCGGATAATGTTGTGCAGGTCTGGATCTGTGTACTTGAAGTCCCCCACGTCATCCAGTAGGATGGACTTGTCAAAGTCGTCCATCAGTTTGTTCCTGAGATCAGCCTCCGCTTTCCTCTTGGCAGCCAGCTCCTGCTCTCTTCTCCTCTGCTGTTCTGCAAGTTCTCGTTGTTTTCTAGTACAAAAAATAATGAAGTCAGTCAATATTTTTATTTGTTTTGAATATTTCTATTTTCATCATATCTTCTTGACTGAACTGATCCTTCATTAACAAATGCATTTTTAGGCCTATGATAAATGGTTAAGTCAAGTTATTTTTGCCAGGACAAAATTTCTGATGATAGTTAGCTATTTTATGAAAGTAGTCCAGGTGTGAATGTGCAAGAGTGGCTCGCGTAGGAACTTGTGTGAACGAAAGGTACGCACATTTAGTAGAGTGGGGGGAATGGGCAGAACAAGTCAGGGAGTGAAAGTGTAAACAGTGTAGTCCAGTGATCCATTTAGTATGTAGCGTTTAGGCTCCGTTTGTTAGCTAAACTTGCGGTAATAACTGGATGAGTGGTGTTTGTAATTGTACTATTGACCATGGGTTAAATGTTGTGTTATAATATAGTGAAATAATTAATAATTTAACACATTTTTTGTCAAGTGTTATTCTTGTGAACTGGTTTAAGGGCCTAACCCTAGACAACACCACAAAACACATATTTCCATAATCCTTTCTTGACAAACCACCAGAATGGAACTATGTCCTACACAACAACACATAAAACTGGGAACACTGCAAACTACTTCTGCTGCATTAACAAGCATTCACCTTCTCTCCTCCTCTCGCCTTGCCTCCTCTTCCAGTCTCTTCTGCTCCTCTGCCTCCTGTGCCTCTCTCTCCTTCCTCTCTTTCTCCAGCTGTGCTGCTCGCTTTTTCTCAATCTTCTCTCTTTTCTCTCTCTCTTTCTGCTCCAGCTCTTCACGAATAAGACTTGCCTCCTGAATGATAATAATAATTCAGATGTTAAAAAATAAAACAAATTAAATCGATTTAATTGTTTTCTCAACCAACAAACATTTTCTAAAAGGACGTGAATTTAAAGAACGGACAAACATTTAAAATGATGCACATCTTGGAGGATGTTGACCCTTTAAACTCATCAAAATTTTAGACAAAAATAAATTTTATAAACTGAAATAAAAAATTGATTTCTTTTTTTAGCTTTAATTTTTTTATTTAAACAAAACTGAACTAAAATAAAAGAAGGTAAAAAATAAACAAACTTTCTCTCTTTGCTTCTGTTCCATTGCCAACTGTTTCTTACTCTTCTTGGGAGCTTGGTCTTCACTGGCATTGGTCTAGAGAAGAACAGAACAGTTAATAATTTCATTTTGATTAAGACAAATATTACAACATTGTTCATGACAAGTCCCAGATACCGCACATCTAAACAAATTATTCTTTTAAATCTAAGTTGCTTAATGCAACTGTTTTATTACACACAAATAGTGCAGCAACGTGATGGGTGGAAACAAAATGGCTGCATGGCAGACAAGTCATATGAATAAATAGTTATAAATAAATAATAATCCTATAATCTTTATCTTCAGGTAAAATGACAGGTGATGAATATTGGGGCTTCTCTCGAAAAGTTTAAACATTCATCTACAGCAGGGGTCTCAAACTCTCGGCCCGTGGGCCATTTGCGGCCCGCCACATGACAGCAAAGTTTAGTGTAATGGGGCCCGCAAGTTTTCCCCATTCTCATATCTATAATGTGACCCTTCGTGACGGTTTCAGTCTGATCTCAGCGACTAGTCTAATTCTGATTTTTATTATATTTGTCAAGATTTGGATGTTGATTATAATGGTATAAACCGTTTCAAAACCGTACCAAAGGTTTTTATTTTGTAGCATTTCATGAGACAAACATGGCGGCCAAAGTGCGGTTTTGACAAAAGTTTAACATGTCACTTAGTGGGTGATGCACAACCATAATTGTGTAAATCGTAGCAATCTGACACAGTATCAAAGAATCACTATTAAAATAGCCCCTACTGTTAACGAGTTAGGGAAATTCCAAGCATGTGAGCTCAAAATATGGTTAGTCAAAAAGGCCTTTTCTACGATAAAAAAAAATCAAATTCATTCTCCCTACAAAAGCATCTTCCTTCACATTAATAATTCATAAATATTGCTTGCTCCTGTCTACTGTTTGAACACGTTTTAGCATTTTAAGCCTTCATGAGAAGGATGAGATGGTTTTTCCTGTACTAAGTGATCCCAAATGGCTCATGGACTTGGCTTTTCTTCTTGGCATTAAATTTGCTCAACAAGAAGTTACAAGAATTGTCAGTGTTGCCTATGAGAATGTCAGGACATTCAGCACAAAATGTGTGTTATAGTTCTTAGAGAAACCTCTGCCATTTCCCAACATGAAAAGTACTCATGGATTCGGAACACCATTCAGTAGTAAGTATATTGATGCCATTGCAAAGCTACAGGAAGAATTTGATCACATGTTTTTAGACTTTAAAACACAAAGAGCTACTTTTCAACCTTCTGCTGATCCTTTCTCTTATATAGTGAAAGATGCATCCCACCTCCCACCTCCACTTGCGCTTCAAATGGAGCTGATTGATCTTCAGTGCCATTCCAAGTTCAGGAAGTGAATGGAGAAACAGACAAGCAAGGACAATTTATGAGAGCATTGCCCTCCACCTTCACTGAGGTTTCCAGGTTGCTCAAGCGGATCATGTGCCTTTTTGGGAGTACCTATCTGTGTAAAAAGCTCTTTTCCCACTATGAAATTTAACAAGTCAAAGTTCAGGGCCTAACTTATTGATGAGCATCTTCAAGCTATACTGAGGGTCTCAGTTGCTTCCTCACTCAAGCAAATGTTGCTCAGCTCTGTAAGAAGAAGGAGTAGGAGGCAGAAAGTGAAGCCTAGTTCTTAAGAACCCTTAATATTTTTATTTTATTATTAATAAAGGTTCAGCAGATAGTTCCAGTTGTACTTGATTGAATTTGTAATCGCTTTTTTTTTTACTTGATGCGGCCCCGTCTCAATTAGACTCTACCTCCTGCGGCCCCGTCTCAATTAGACTCTACCTCCTGCGGCCCCCGGATGATTTGAGTTTGAGAACCCTGATCTACAATAACTGGTTTATTTTGAATACAGATATTTAGTTGAATCACCTTGCTGGCTATACTACACCTCTTATGGGAGCAGAACAAAAACGAAATAATTGTTCTCTTAAGTTGGGTATAGAGAGCCACGTTGGAACAGAAACAGGTAAATAATTGCTCTCTTAAGTTGGGTATAGATAGCCACGTTGGAACAGAAACAGGTAAATAATTGCCCTCTTAAGTTGGGTATAGATAGCCTCGTTGGAACAGAAACAGGTAAATAATTCCACTCTTATGTTGGGTATAGACAGCCATAATATATATTGCACTCTTATGTTGGGTATAGACAGCCATGATATATATTGCACCTTAAGTTGGGTATAGACAGCCATGTTGGAACAGAAACAGGGAAGACAATCAAACAACAAAATAAGAATATTTCTTCCTAAATATTCACTGTTAAAGTGAAATATTGGACTACAGCTCAAGGAACAGAAACGGTTAATGATATTCAGAAAGCATAACTATGAAAAGAATTTAAATTACTCACTGTGCTTGAATCATTTTTACTCTTGCCAGATGCATTTGTTGCTGCCGATGGCTCCGTCTTTGGTGTTGATGGCCGTCCACTTGGTTGATCTTTCTTTGGCCTGGGTCTGAAATTTTTTTCAAAAACCTTCTCATTAGTCTCCTGTTGCTAAAAATTTCAAATTTTACACTTGGCTAATATAGACTTAGCTTATATATGATTGGCTAATATGGAATTGACTGTCCTGAGTCTTGCATCTCAAAAAAGATGCCTTCCAGACTTGCTAATAAATACTTGGCTAATATATACTCGGCTAATATAGTCTTGTCTAATATAGACCCTGCTAATATATATTTCGTTCTTATATACTTGGTAATATAGAATTGACTTATAGAATTGACTAATGTATACTTTGCTAGTATAGACCTGGCTAATATGGACCTGGTTAATGTATACTTGGCTAATGTAGATTTGATTAGGGACTTCCACAAATAGGACATGCGCATTTTAAACATAATGTTTTCTTTATTCAAATAAACTTTTTTTTTATGTTTCAGTTCATAGTGTGACCCTGTAGCCAAGACATTTGTTGATCTAAAACTTTCTGAAAAGCTCAATTGCACTAATCCTATATTCACAAATCTTTCTTGGAAATATTTGTTTTAAAAAAATGTGTTAAATTTAATGTCAATCTTCAATTATAGTTTATTTAATCCTCTCCCACTGAACTTTTGTCTTACATTCAAGCCAATGAAAAATTATTAATAGTCCACAGAAAACCATACACAACTTCAAAAACAAGAAGTCTGATTTTTTTATAACAATGAGAAGAAAATTTACTTGAGATATATAGATAGATAGATTTGTTCAAAAGTCAGGGAAAGAGAATCCATACGCTAATTTTGGAAAACAAATTTGCAGTGGCAAAGGGAACAGCCCACAGCAGGTAAACAGATCTAAACCTGGTTAGTGCAGCGATTTCTAGAGATTCAACATTTATAATGGTCATGTATTTTCTGGCACATAAAACATTGCAGGAAAGAATGGGCTAAGCCACACACTGGTCGTGTCTGTCACAAATGACTGGGGTGGGGGGACAGAACTGAGCTGCATTGTTGTTCAGGTAACTCTTATAGGGCGGCCGGAATCACTGTGATTTTGGGAAAGGAGGTGTTAGGATATTAAAATTAATAGATTCTCCCATCTCAAAAAAGATGCCTTCCAGACATTTAATGAACATTTTGGGGTTAACAATAAAAGTTCCAATTTGACAGGAAATGAGGGGGCAGGGATAGCTTAATATTTTGTGGCACTTTTGGACCATTTATGGAGGGAGAGCTTTTGGGGACAATGACAGTCAATCTGGACTGACTTACGCAGAGGTAGTGTAGCCATAGTCAAAGATACACCTAGGGATAGACAGCCCCGTGTTAGAGTCAGTAAAGTGCCATTATTGGATTTGTTATAATTTATTCATCAATGCATCTTTTTCTTTATAACTGTTGCAGTGGAGTTGTTTAGCGTACACTATTTATGTCATTGTTCCTCTCAACACCTGGACCAGTGAACCATCACAGAGAGGAGCTGTCCTGTAGTAGTCTCAATAACACCAATACTACTTGGTGTACACGGTCAAATTTAACCAGGCGTCAAGGTTCTCCTGCAAGAAGCATCAAAAGCTACTCCATCATCTTGCAAAGACAAAAGGATGCCATACACATATATATACTTGGTGTGTGAGCATTATTAAGGACCACACCCTCATAATACCATCTGTTCTGTGAAAGTTTCATGTCCTCCCACCCACGGGTCAGGTTTAGTTAATTGACTTACGAGTTGGACTCCTCTCTTTTTGATTCGTGATATCTGGGTGCACTTGATGACCTTTGCTGTTGAAAAGATGGTGTTTTGGCCCTCTCTGAAAACAAATCAAAATACTAACATAAAACATTTATGTGGCTGACAAGTAGATTTCTCAGTCTTGTTTTGCATACAAAGTTCTTTGGGATCCAGCTTTGCCCATGTTTTGTTCCATCATGTCACTGCTCCTCCTCTACATCATTCACTTCCTCAAATTAAGGATACATGTCGCTGCATTCAGTGGATGTCAACAAAGTAGTCCCAAAACTGGAAGGCTTATCCGTGTCATACAGTGCCCTATTTTTCACATCCCCAACCCAACTTGTCCATGTCAGGACAGACCCAGACAAGACACTTCAGACACAAACATTGACTTGACCTGACACGACCCTTTAGACACAAACACTGACTTGATCTGACACGACACTTTAGACACAAACATTGACTTGATCTGACACAACCCTTTAGACTTTTTAACACATAAGTCTTGATTTTTGGTTTTCTAACTAGCTGTTTTTTCTTGTTTTGCATTGTCTACTGGAGAACGCATCTAGTTGAAACGTCCTTGTGATTGCCATGTCTTTTTACTGCAAGCCCAAGCACATCTTGTTCCATTGTTATAATCTTAAAAAGAACAAATGTCGTATCCAGACAAGACGTAAACAAGTTAGCTGAAAGAAATAAACTGAACATGTGGTAAACTAATTTAATATTGCTTACCAGCCTCTGCAGCCTTCTTTTCATTTCTCTTTGCCTCACGTTTCTTCTTCTTTGCCGATTTCTGCAGGTCCTGGTAATATGCTCCGTGCTGAGCATTGGCTCTTTGAAAGTTGGCATTCTGGCGAATGGACTGACTAGTGTAGGACTCCCCGCCCCTTTGAGTGGAAGTGAAGTTATTGAAAGGATTCTGAGTGTACACAAAGTCATCATCATCATAGTCTTCATTATCAGAGTCATAGAAGCCGTAGAATGGATTAGGGGGAAAATCTGAAACAAATTTTTGAAATTCACTCAGACATCAGGCTAACCTGGACTCAGACATCAGGCTAACGGAAACTCTGACATCAGATTAACATAGATGATGACATTACTCTAACATAGACTCATACATCAGACCAACACTGACTCAGACATTAGACTAACATGGAATCAGACTAGCAAATAAGGTCTGTAAAACAATAACAGGTTACTGCACCTAAGAATTAAATGTATATTCCATTTAATGTACGTGTCCACTGCTCACATATTACTATTACTTGGATTTTCTGCTGCAAAATTGTTCCCATATAAATCCCAGATTTCAGTGACCATTGCTACTCACTGGTAAAAAAAAAAGGACCAGCAGGCGTCATTTTCATGACTTTTTTTCATGGTCTTAGTATATTGTATGCTGGCAACACACAGGCATAAAACCGTCACATTTTTACCATTGTGCATGCATTGTGTTCAGCTGACAGGGTTTGTTAACAAATTATTAGTAGTTTTCGACACTGGCCCTAAGAGTGCTTAGACTCTGTTGTTCCAAGATTAAAATTTGTTAAAGAAGTTTTAAAGTCTGATTAAATGGAGTGGTCAAAATAAAACAAGATTAGAGGAACAAATTTTTTTTTATTTTTTAAATGTTCTTTTTCCTGCACTTTCGCTTTTGACAAGAGCTTCTTAGAATGTAAGGGGAAGACATGGGTGGTGGATCACTTAGGTGTAGAGAATATGCTCACTTGATCCTAATTAATAAGTTAGTGCTTCCATATACCCATTTTCCAGCAAATGGCATATGAAAACAGTTACATTACAACAACAGTTCAATTACAACAACAGTTACATCATGGTCACATACTTATTTATTCACTCTTTTTTTTTTTATGGTGCAAGTATTTGAATTGGAAAAAACTACAACACCTTGATTCATTCAAAGGGCTGCATGCGCCTTCAGAGCCACTTACTGCTACGCTAGCACATAACTTTAATATAAACAAAAGATCCTGCATATGAAGCCATAGTTGAGCCTGCACAAGTGTGAAAACCTATGTGGGATATCCATGTCAGTCATGAGTATCTGGAGCTGGTATCATACATAAATATCAGGGGATTTTCTAGCAAGGATTTATCCCTGACATTTGTGGCTCTCACAATTTGGCTGTGTGAACTTGTAAACATAAGTTATTTGGTAAAAAAAATGTTTAAAGAATCTTGGTGGGAGCAGTTCTGAGATGCACTAGGTGGGAGCGATTCTGAGGTGCACTAGGTGGGAGAAGTTAAGTTATTTAATAAAATAATTGCTCCCACCCAGTGCATCTCAGAATCGCTCCCACCCAGTGCATCTTAGAACTGCTCCCACATAATAAATCTCAGAATTTCTCCCACCCAGTGTATCAGAATTTTATTGAAGAAAACATCAATATTCATCATCAATGTTTTGAGAGAATTATTTATGATTCAAATTGAGAATGTTATCTTAAGTTGATCTATTAAAAGAAACATTTCTGAGGAAAGTTAAGGCCCCAGTGAAATTGAGGCATTGGTGCCAGATGATATGAAAGGGACAGTTCCCCCAAGCCTAAGCCCTAAACTCAATTGAAGTTAGAACTCTCTCTCTGGACAACAGTTACTTACAGGCTGGTCTTTCAAAGTTCCTTGCAAACATCTGCATGAAAACTCGAAACTGAAAATAATAAGATCAAATCAGTTTAAAATGATTAGTTAACCCACAGGTTCCCAACCTTTTTGAGTTGCAACTCTATTTCATAGAAGCAAAGTGACTGCAATAATTTTTTTTTAAAATTAACACCGTAAGAGAAAACACATAAAGCAGACACAGCATTTTCAAATTATTCAAAAGTTATTAAGACATCATTTAGAAATGAAAACTGCGGTTAAAATCCTTATTTTTAGTTCACTTTCACAGCAGGTGACTCCACAGTAAAACCTCTGGGCTCCAATTTTAACTCACGACCAGTGGGTTGAGAACCTGGGAGTTAAACCCTTATAAAAAAATAATATTCTTATTATTCAATGCTATTTTTTTTTAAATTGAGTGACTTGAATAGACTTTATCAGAATTCCACGCTGGTAGCAGAAATAAAAAAGGGCAGGTTACACTGGGAGGCACATTTAGAAAGAATGCCAAATGACGGATGCGTGAAGAGGGTGCACCACCAAAACTCCAGAGGAAGACGGCTCAATGGCAGACCTAGGCTAAGATAGATGGATGATGTGCAAAAAATATCTACACCAGCTGGGAATCCAAGCATGGGAAAAAAAAGCATCCATTAGGTCTGAGTGGAAGGAAGTGGTGAAGCAGGCCAAAGCTACAGGGATGGATGGTGACTTAGTACAAACCATGGTTGCATTTTGTTATTACAAATTTAGGTAGTCTTTTATGATCAGTGAAAATATTAGACCTTAAATGACCATAAACAAACATAAATGTCCATGCACTAAATTTGAAACTCTCATTGATGAACAACAAACAACGAAGATTTGCATTAATAATTAATTGACAGCACTTGCACCAATACAATATGAACATTTTTTTAAAAACAAAATTTGAACATGGTGTTTTAAGTTGAATAATTATAGGTCAATGGTGTATTTTTAGTAAGTACAAAGCAAGAGAAATAATAAAAATACGTACTAGTATGTCATCTGAGGGATCCCCCATACCATTTGGAACGAACATTTCACCTGTCAAAAGATATGGCAATTTTAAGGCATTCAACTCATACTTAACGGGATTTTTTTTCTTCTTTCTAATGCAGTTCAGATAAGTGTTGAAATACTTAACAGACCAGAACTGGACTTGGATAATATTTCTTTAAAAAACTAAGTTTGCTAAAAAATTCTACACAAACTAACCTTCTGTTAGATAACGGTAGGCAGCAGATATTTGCTTGAACTTGTCTGTAGCACTTGGATCTTCATTCTGCAGTTGCAAATGTTCTAATTAAATTGTGTAACTCGAGAAATAATTTAATTTTTTTTTAACTTTGTGCGCTAAGTAGCTACATGTGCTTTCAATTTCAATTAGTTATCAATTATAAGAATGGTTAGGATATAATTATGAAAGAAAAGCTTGAATGAAGATCTGAAATTGCTAAATCCTTGTATAAGCTGTGAGCCTTCCATTTAAATTGTTTGTCAATATCAAACTCATTCATCCATGTGATTTTCATTACTTCAAGTGGCAATAAAATACTAATCTATAAAAATAAAAGAATATGTCAGAACTGACAGACTGATCAATATGAGTATGAGTTTATCCTAGGAACAGGAACTTTGTTAGGTACATTGGTGTTGTCACGTAAGCACACACCAAGAAAGGATTTTCAGAAATTCCCACATGAGGGGATCAAAAGGGATTGAGAAGTTTACCAATATCTGATAGCTGGATGAAGTTACAGGCAATGGACTGATGATGTTACAGGCATGGATTGATGATATTACAGGCATGGACTAATGATGTTACAAGCATGGGCTGATGATGTTACGGGCATGGACTGATGATATTACAGGCATGTATTGTTGATGTTACAGACATGGACTGATGTTACAGGCATGGATTGATGTTACAGACATGGATTGATGTTGTTACATGTATGATTGATGATGTTACAGGCATGGATTGATGTTACATGTATGATTGATGATTTACAGGCATGGATTGATGTAACAGGCATGGATTTGTGTTATTACATGTATGGATTGATGATGTTACAGGCATGGGCTGATGATGTTACAGATACATATTGATGATGTTATAGACATGGATTCTTCTAAAGCAAATAACTAAATTCTTGTTTCATCCTTTTTGACAATTAAGTCCATGTGGGTTTCATATCATGAGAATACATTTTATATATCAAAAACCAAAGTTTTCACAAATGTAAAATATTTGACGTTAGATTCTTCTTTAAAAATAGGAGCATACAAATTTTACCTTTCACCAAAAATACAATTAGGGTATAAGAGATTTTGGGGGTTCCTTACATCATTACAGTAAGGGTTTGGGGGTTCCTTACATCAATGAAGTCAGGGTATGGGAAAGTCTGCGAGTGCCTTACATCAATACAGTTAGGGTATGGGAAAGTCTGGGAGTGCCTTGCATCAATACAGTTAGGGTATGGGAAAGTCTGGGAGTGCCTTACATCAATACAGTTAGGGTATGGGAAAGTCTGGGAGTGCCTTACATCAATACAGTTAGGTATGGGAAAGTATGGGAGTGCCTTACATCAATACAGTTAGGGTATGGGAAAGTCTGGGAGTGCCTTGCATCAATACAGTTAGGGTATGGGAAAGTCTGGGAGTGCCTTACATCAATACAGTTAGGGTATTGGAAAGTCTGGGAGTGCCTTACATCAATACAGTTAGGGTATGGGTTTGGTGTTATTATAAAACTTCAACATGTAAAATATTTGTAGAGTATTGATAAAAATAACATGTTTCTTTTTCAAACTATTGTACCAAATCCAAAAATCTTCACGAACAAAGCCATGGGAAATAGTTAGTTGTATATAAAAAGTTAAAGTAACTATATAGAAAGGTTGCCTATGTATTGAAAAAAACTCGCTGATTCAAATGTATGAAAATGTTTAAATTATTTAGAAACAACAGTAAAAATAATTTTTTTTTTTAGCCTTCTTGTTCCCTTCTCACACACAAATATTATCTAGCTTTTTTTAAAACAACTTTTTTTTTTTTTAAATTATAATTTATATGAAATTTTACAATCCCAAATTTGAACCCAAAATGCAACATTACCTTATCAGGATGGTACTTCAGAGCAGCTGCCCTGTAGGCCTTTTTTATATCATCTATAATTTAATGAAAAGTGCATTTTAGTTGGAAATTTTGTAAGCTTAAATTTTATGTCCACACAATTATTGTAATTATAATATTACTGTCAAAAGTCTCAAAACAATTCTAGCCTATAAATAATATAATATTTTTAAGATGTTTAAGAGTTAGAGTTAGAATGTGACACACAGTGAAAATTTTTAAAAAGACTGAAAAGTATAGATCAAATAACTTGAGAAAATCAAGAGCATTCATCAAGTATTTTTATTAACTAGTTACTTGTATTTTTGGCTTGAATAATAAGCCAAATCTAAAGCCTGAAAAGTGAATTTCTGCTTTCTTTCTCCTACCTTCACTAGCTCCAGGTCCTAAGTCTAGATCCTGTAGACAACTTAATCTTTTCCTGTTGTGGTCCATGTTTATTTATTGTTCTAGTGGAAGTACTCCAACTGGAAGCACAACAAACATTTTTTTCACTAAAACATAGCATCACTGCATTCAAATTTTTTTCAAAGTGCAACTAAATTGTTTACTGCATTTTCAAATGAATGCATATGTATATTCATCACTTCATACATCCACTTAATACATCCACTACTTTAATAGGCTTATTTTCAGATTTAAATTAGTTTTTCATTAGAGTGAAATCTTTACAGTTCACCAATATTCAGATCAGTGTTTATAAAACATTTTCAAGGAAACTCCCCTTGTGTAAATATATGAATCACAATACAACACCCTTTTCACCACAAACGCTAGAACTACAACTATTAGTGTAATGATGAAAACAATGAAAAGATTAATTTAAAACAGTAATGATTTAAAAATCTCAAAATATTGCTTTACGCTTCTGGGTGGACTTATCCTGTTAAGGTGCATGCACTAGCAAAGAATTTAGACTACTAAAAACTGATAAATTCATACCTGTATAAGAATGAGATTCACAGAGTTCTCCCAGTTCTACTCTTAAAAGGAAAACATTCACATGAAAGTAACGGAGGTAAGTCAAAACACCCTTTGGGTTGGAATCACACAAGAATGCAGGAGATCTCAAACTGTTTTTTTTGGGGGGTTCTAAAAATTGTTTTCAGTCTTTTAGATGGGGCTGTTATTCAACATGTTCAGTAATCTGGAACTTCTTTCTTTGCAAAGATATGGATAAGAAACAACATAAAAGCCAAAGAATACCACTAATTAGCTGATCTTTGAAAAAAAAGAGGGGGAAGTGGGTTAATTACTGCTTATAGTGAAAGATAGAAATCAATTTACTGATTTAAGTTCTTTTTCAAAAGACCACATGAATTTAATGAATATGTAATAATAAAAATTTGAATCATCAATCTCTGGAAGTTTCATATAGGCTATTAAATAATGAACAAGCAATGTGCTTTGTAACTGAACTATTGCCTCGCTGCCTATAGTTAAATTTGATATTTTCAAACTTAATTAAACCCTACAAAATATCGTTTTGAAAAAAACTCATTTTAAATACAATAGGCATATACATAGTCAAGTATAAAGAAAAGTACTAAATAAAATTTGGAAGATGAGGCTTCAAAATGGAATAAAAGTCACTTTTTTTTTTTTTAAACCTCAGATCCCCAAGAGAACAATATCACCCACTTAGCAAGTCACAAATCTTTAATACTTAAATTTATAATCATATTAATAAAGGACATAGCCATGATTTGAGCTAGGAGGGATGCAAATAATCTTACAGTAAACTGTACTAGGATAGGATTGAGTAACCCCCATGAAATCTGCTAGCTAAGCCTAGGTATTAATTATTATTATACATAAGACTCCAAAATTTGAATTTAGTATTATTCAGAATTACTCATATTGACATAGTTACTAAATTATATAGAGCAGAGTTTATAAAACAATCAATACAGTAGACTCAGTAGAGCCTCTAACTCTATTATTTTTAACCCATGGCCATGGTGAGGAACATTTCAAACTCATACTTGTTGCACTTACTTACTGGCATACTACAAGTAGTGTACACTAACTTCATTTAACTTGAGTTATAGTGCTAGCCAACTCAACTCCAACTGTCTTAGACTTAGAGTCTAATGAAACGTAAGAGTCTGAGTCATATGTGGTCTTCTACTCATCTGTCTGTGTCTAGTTCTAGACTACTACTGACTACAAGTCTAATAATAATAAGTCTTATTTTATGGATGGTCTCTTAGTTGACTAGATAAGAAATCATCAACTAGACTTCATTTTTCATTTTGACACTACTACTACTACTACTTACTACTCCTACTAACTAGGTCTAGGACTAGTCTGTGAAATTATGATATGATAATTACAAATGATCATGGATAAATGAATAAACCTATACTATTAACTATATTATTATTTATTATATTACATAATATATAATAATTTATAGCTATAGCTATAGACATAGGGCCTATAGCCTATACTATACTATATATAGATTAATATAGTAAATTTAGTAAAATATACACTATACTATAGTCTATGATTCTATGATGATTAATCTCCATTGTTAATTGTTAATGCGAATGTCTAGATAGTTTAAGTTTAGGTAGTAGAAGTAGTGGTACATAAGACTTAAACTTTAACTAAGAAGAAATTTAAAAAATAATTATTATTTATACTTAACATTGACATTGAATTGAAATGAAAATTATTTAGATTTTGATTGATTCTGAATACACTAACTAACCTAACTTCTAACTGTCTAACTTATACACTTCTTGGACGTGAATAAGCAAAAATAATAAATGATGATCAAGCTAATAATTAATAATTTAAATTTACGAACAAATTTACTTACCAAAAATGAGTTTCCAATATGCTACGAAAAGTTAAATGTTACAAGAAAATCTGTAATTACAGCCTCCAAAAAAAAAAACAATAAAATGATCCGAAGGGGTAGTGATGGTAAATTAAAAAGCGCTCTCAGGAAAATTCCAGGAAACGAATAAATAAATATAAAGATTGGTAGTCACCCTATCTAAAAATAGAGTAAGACTTCGTAGAAAAGAGCTGGGGTTTTCCGTACATTATTGATAGTGGGAAAAAATACAACTTTTAAAAATGCAATTTTTTAATTTTCTGATAGTAAAAGCTATAAAGTAAATTTTGAATTAGCGATTAAAATTAGTTTAAACTTGAATATTACGGTATGTGATATTTAATGTTGAAAATTTAATGTAAATTTAAATTCAGGCAATAGGCTCAATTTAGGCAATATAGCCATCATAGTCATAGTTTAATTTTAATATGATAATTATTTTATTGGCGAAATTAGAATGAGAAGACACTAATATAAACTAAGTATGAATAGTTTGTATGAGTATGATTAATTGTAAGTAGCCTAAAATTTTAATTCCAAATGAGGAGTATTTTTTTTTCCTTTTAAATTTAGATAAAATTTTAAAACTATAGGGCCTACTCGTTTACTTACTTTCACTTAACAATTAATCTAGCTCTTGAAAATGAATTTTAATTATTTTTTCCTCAGTCTAATAATTCACTTTATCTTTATATATTTTAATTTCAGTATTCAACTAAGACTAATCACCCCTTCTTTGATGATGATCGTGAGAAGCCATTTAGTCAGAAACATTAACAGTGAAACATTGCAAATGGTATGTCTTCAACTTTCAATGTGTAAAATTTAAATTTACAATTCTTATAAATTATGAAAGGTCGTTGTCGACACAACTGCAAAGCAATGTTCCTCAAACTATCCACATTTCCTTCATTTAGGGCTGATAGCTGCTCCGTTCCATTATAATCATACACAAATAAGAACTGACCTTTAAAAAAAAATAACCAGAGATATAACAAATAATGCTTTTCAAATTCGAAGAAACGGATAAAGGTACCTTTACTCATGTCCATGCCGAGTAAAAGTGGCGCCCAGGTGAAGACTGAAAATGGCACCTACTAATGTATAGAAAAAAGGGACGCCCAGTGCGGACCAGTAAAAACTGCAGATATTTTTTCGTGGAAGGTGGCGACAAAATTCTCGGCCCGCCCCGGGTGGCACTTAGTGACTTACCATAGCTACCACTACTCCAATGTGCATACCATTACCACCATGCCCGTTGGATGTCAAAGCTACAATAAGAGCTGAAAATGTTCACGTTTCGATACTAGTTTAAAGGGTAAAACAAAAAGAAGTCTTGCCTTGAATGCAGTCTCTTTGTAGTGTTAAAATAAAATTAATTATGTCTTACGTTAAGCTTTGGGTGACATTAATTATAATTCGAATCACAAGGTGGATTCTTCTTAAAGGGGAATAGCTCTCGTCGATTTTTTTTTTTACTTCTCCCTGATATGAATCAAGAAAATTGAGTAGGAATTATTTGTGTTTACAATCATGATAGACTAATATGTTAGTATCGTTAGTAGTAATTTGAATGAAGAAAGTTAAAATAGTTAATAGAAATTCCAAGTAAACTTTTTAAGTTAATGCATTTGTTTGGAAATTCAAGCTGTTTCATTTTCCTTCAGATAAATCACATATTAATAATTAATTAATACCGGTTTATGCCGGTCTTTTGTGAATATTTCCTGTTTTCTTTTTATACATTTAGAATTTAGATACAATTTATTTTTAAAACCTGTTTTAAATAGCCATAAAAAATATATAGGGATAGACCTTTTCTACAAAACAGTACGTTTCTCATTTTTTTTGTAACTTTGAATTTTTGGGAAAACATACTTAAGTTTTAAATTACTGTAATTCCAAAATTATATATTTATTATTAATAATTATTATACTTATACTATTTATTTACTAACATACTGGTACTAATAAATTGTCGTTTAAAAAATTTATGATCAACTGTTTAGAATGGAATTTTTATATTTTTTATTTATATTCTTTCATTTCATTGATGAATAATTTTAAAACAAATAAATAGTTTCAGTTTCAAATTATGCACTAAAAATAAGAGGAATTGTGTAACCAGTGTATAAAAAGAGTACCGGTAAAACAAAGTAGGGTTAAACCTGAAAAAAGGAACGCAACAAAACAACAAACATGTCGGCAGGAAGCCTTCGTCAGCGAACAAAACAACAGAAAAAACATAAATATTTTTTTAAAATAGCACTTAGCCTAGAGGTAGTATCCGTGGGCAGCAAATGAATTGTCAATACCTCTGCATACCGTTCAACAGAAAAGTTTCAAGAAAAGGAATCATTACACTATCATTTCCTCTAACTGTATTCTTGTCGAGTTGATCTGATTGATTTTCAAAGTAATTCAGTATAAAATCATTATTATCCAGATGGAAACAAGAAATGTATACTCGTCTACCAGGACCATTTAACACAATATATTGTACTCAAACTCAAAGCATTTCAATTCAAGTGCGCTGAATAAGTAGCTTAACACTTGACGTTTTTGCACTTCTTGGTGCACCAACTCACTCAGACAACATATTATGGGATTGTCCAAAAAATTTTCTAGTTAGACTTAAATTTGTCACAGCTTATTAAGATTGTGCATGGGACACTTCACCAAAACAAGGGAGTGTGTAGAGTGTGGAAATCAAGATGCTGAAAACATGATAATTGGGGGGGGGGGGGGGGGGAGAGAAACTACAATGAGGTTAGCAAAAAAAGGAAATTAAGAGAAACAAAAGTATCTGACAATAAGCTCACGCCACTTGAGTGTAGTACTACAGAACGGATTTCCATACCTAAATGTGAAAAAGGATGTGGGTATTACAGAAGCTTTGTCTTAGTTTCATGTGTGTAACAAGTCTTTATTGACATTAGAAGACATTCTTCTTAGATGGATAAACAAATCTCTCTCTTAGATCAGCTGCAAGACAACAGTCTACTGGATTTGCCCAGTGCATAACAAAGTGTCCAAATAGAACGTGCTTTTGTGTAAAAAAACAAAAAAAATTATATGGTATACCGGTACTTTACTTAAGCCTGGTAATTCTAGTCAAAGTGTAAAATTCAAAAGACATTATACATTTGTCTTAACTGTAAAATTACCTACAATTACAATATGTACATTTACCCTTTCCCATTATTCTATATTCACATTTATGGAAGTCAATTAAAAGATCTACACTCTGTGGCAAAGATCAAGTGATCTGTTTGTTAATCCCAAAGACCAGTCTAAACATTTTTTTTTCTTCAGTGAAACACCAAATTAACATTGTTAATTTTTCTCCCGCAGTATAAGTACACCCAAAGAATAGGGAATTGATGCAATTAAAAGTTCATAATACACTTAGAACTGACTTTCTTTTTTAAAACAAGAATTTGCTCTGATCTCTGAATAAAAAATAAAGCTAAACCATTTTTAGCATAATTGATATACCTATATTAGTTTAGCAAAATTCTAATGAGTTCGTTAATTTTAAGTGTAGCAATTTCTGCATGTTCATAACTGCAGATTAATAACTAATCTCCTTAATTAGTCTAGGCCCTTGCTGGAGAGAAAACCGTTCTTAGAAACAAATATTATTTACATTTATTGAAACAAGGATAAATTAAATCAACAAGTGATTAATGAATAAAGAGAATTTTTATTTATTAAATAAGCTATATGAATAAAATCCACTTTAAACAATTCAAAAACCAAACAGGTAAGACCAGCCGTATGAGAAAGAAGACAATGAGCTTTATATATATCTTGTATTCTATTATATTTATCAATGATTTTTTTCATATAATTTTACTATATTTTTTTCTTTTGTGTGGTATATATCTTGCTATCAAAAATGGCGCTTTGAAGGTTCATTTTTATAGTTATTTTTGTCCAACAAAGCAAAGATTTAAAAAAAAATATTTTTTTTTTTCATCAATTTTTTTTAAATACTTTACTTGAAGTTAAATTTTTATTATTCAAAGAGAGTCTTGTTATTCTCCTGTGAATAACAAAATGAAAGCTTTTTAGTCCAGTAATTTATAAATGAAATTGATTCTCAAGTTGTGATTGGTTTTTATAGAAAACATAACTCACAGATCAATGCCCAACTACTGGACTAAAGAGCTTAATAATAATCATACTCTAGGGTTAGAGTATGTCTGTGTGGGTACCACAGCAACAGCACCTAAATAAATGTGTCCAAACTCGGAAGGAAGATACAATTATATGCTCACCAATCCAGTAAATGTCTAGTTCTAATCAGTACGACTAGAATTACATCCAGCTACATTGAAATAGTGCCAAATACAGCTCTGCCATACAATTTTATGGATTTTCCGATGTTTTGCAAGATGGTATTGCAAAGACTAAAAAGGGTTAAGAATAATGTATTACACATCTTGGAATAGACAAAAATCAAGAAAATTTTCGAGCTGCATTTAGTGCTGGTACAATATAGTGGAGATTTGGTGGAGATCTTCAAGGAAAAATTAAATCAAAATAAAAAATTACAAATTAAACATGAATATGAAACCGTGGATCATGACCAAATTGATTGAATCGCGAGGGTCTGTTTTCGTCTAAATGTCTGAGCAATCCTTGTTTTATATAACAGATCACTGGGCATCAAAGGTGAGTAACCAAAGCATTTTAGCAGACTGCCGACTTGATGGTAAAGTTGGTAACAAATTACAATACCATTACCGATAGAAATGCCACAGATAAATGCTATGTATGATGTAAATCAATACATCTTGGCAATAAATAAAATAAAGACTAACTTTCACTATATCAAATGCTTAAATCAAGCATAAAAAAAAAAACACTGCTAATTCCCGATAACCAAAAGCTTCTCGCTGAAAGGGATAATTATGCTTCAATGTGGACAATTACATTAGTATCTATAAATGTAGTCCTATTGGTTGGATAAAAATTGAAAAACAAAACAGACACCTCTTCGTAATTTGACTTTTCAAACTACCACTTTCCACCTTTTAGTTTCAAACCAAATTAAGATATAAAAACTA